TCCAGAATCAGCGACCGTAATAGCAATACAAATCCTGAGCAGCGGATCGTAGTCGTAAAGACTCGAAACTCTCCGGTTCTTTTGCTTGTGATTCATTGCATACCTTCAGAACCCGGACATGACAACTTAAGACAGAAAGGCGCTGCAGGCTAGCTGCTGAAGTTAAGAAACTTAACTGTATGAAATCGTGCTGATGCCAACTCTGCTCATTGCAATCGACGAAGATGAGGACATATGTACTGCTTGTGACTTTAGCAGTGCATTTGCACCATAGCGTTTACATGCAAGCACCATGCCGTACCATACCCATGTTATGCAGAGATGACATAGCCTTACAGTGTGACGCCCCGCAAAGCCAAACCTCTTACTGAAACTGGCAAAAGCAGGAGCAGCAGTGGGAATGGCAGTAGTCGTGATGGTGGTAGTAGTAGTAGTAGTAGTAGTAGTAGTAGTAGTAGTAGTAGTAGTAGTAGTAGTAGTAGTAGTGTAGTGCTTCTAATAGCAGTAGGTAGTACTTGTAGCAGTAGCAGTAGTAGCACTAGCAGTAGCAGCCGCAGCAGCAGCAGCCAGGCTGCCCGAACGTGACGACTGCTCCTACGGCTTCGGCTGGTGCTACATCAGCAACAATGAAGATTGCTGCTGCTCCTGCTAAAGCTGCTTCCCTACAATAGAATTATGACCAGACCAGCAGTGCAGACGCTGCTTGGCCCCCGGCAACTCCGGCACTGGCCCGGAGAGGAATGTGGTGACGGTCTGAGAGGCAGATAGACAGCGAAGTGCACGATTTCCGGATGTGAGACTTGGGAGGGTTTTAGTGAAGTCTGGTGGCTCGGGTTTGGTGGTCCTCGGGGTTCAAGGATCGAGAGTTTCAGGCCTAGTCCGCCTGCAGGATGGCAGTGGAGGATTGTTGCGAGTAGAGCAAAAGGGAACGCTTTCGCAATCAGGTGAAAGTCATCCTGGCTCAGTACACGACCAACTTCTATAACACATCCGAATTGTGAAACCGCGTCCCACTTGACGATTTGGAGAAAAACAGAATGTGTCGTTGTCATCTCAGAAAGGGGGATTCCTTGCCACAGCTCACAAATACCGGAATTTCTATTCGGCCTTCAGCAAGGGTGCTCAAACAGTGTGCCAAAGCTATACGACGGTTCAGGGTTTCGGTCACATTCCAACCACCGCTCCCGGCACATGGCGCCCATTTTGGGGATCGAATCGTTCGTCTCGTGCATTCGTGGAGGGCAACACTATTCCGCCTTTGGGCGGGCTCGATAGTAAGGGCCCCGGTTCCTACAATCAGGAACCCTGCAGCAGGCCCAATCCCTAGAAGCAATTAGCACATCCCTACATGTAACAGCACAACTCATGTCTACCTAAACAGGAAATCGAGGAAATCCTCAACCCGCAACACACTAAAGCCTGAGCTGCAGCTCCGAACATGCTTTGGATCACGTATGTCATGTCGCTGCGTTCGCAATGGAACTGAGGAAGGCTGTCAGGTTTGGGGGCTAGGACTGTAGGATTGCAGGGTGTTGGTTCCGGGGCTTCGCTGGGATGGCTAGTTCTGACAAGGACGGAACTTCAAGCCGTAAACCATACCGTGGGCCCCTGGCGTAGGTGTACGACAGCTGCTGACTGAGCCGCCTGGAGCTGGTCGGGTTTCGGGTTTAAAGCGCAAGAAGACCACCATCACCGCAGCCACAAGCTGCCATGAAAGGAAGAAGCATGGGATAGGTCAGTTCTTGTTTGAAGCAGTCCGTTGGTCAGCGGGCTGGAAGGTGGTTATGGTTATCCAGTCAGAGCACACAGCCAAGCGATGACTTAGCCGTGTCAGTTGGTAGTTAGTTAGTTGGTTACATACGTGGGATACTTCAGTCAGTTCTTTCGTCAGCTACTTGGTCAAAGAGCCAGTAAGCTTCCGAAAGTAAGTATCTTTGAACACTACGTAGTTCGTAGTAGGCACGAGCCATAAGAGGTACAGTTACTGACAAGAGGTGGCACGGGTCACGAGGATAAAAAATGAACCGCAGCACAGAAGCCTTACCCACACTCACAAACTAGACTGCCACAGGCGTAAAGACAGGGAGGGACAGTGCACAACAAATGAGCTGTCGAGAAACCTAACCCCCCCTAGATCAGCCAAAGTCAGAGAAGTTTCGTGGGGATACTCCAGCACAGGGAGCTGTGCGCCGCAAGCATATCTCAGAGGAACTGGAACTCAAGGGGTTTCTCCGTGGGGCTGAAGGTTCACAGTGCCTCAGAATCGTCGAAGGATGGGTTGGGTAAGGTTCCGGGCCTTTAGGGCACTTAACCCAAGCCGTCGCATTTCTGCAGACTCGAGAAGTCTTCAAGACCCGACCCCGAGATGTTGAAATCCTCATACTACCTCAGGAAACTTCGAGGGCCTCGACGTCCCACCGTCGGTGCAGGTTTCACCTTCCGTGGAAGAAATCACCGTCACCTAGGCTGCCGTCTTCCGAGATTCTCTAACCGCTAACCTTTACAGCCCCAGCACTTGTTGGCACTCCCTCTGCCACGACAAGCAGCAGCATCAAGCGTAGAGACCACACACAGAAACGTGATCACGACTACGAGCGCACAAACGGACCCCCAGAACCAACAGCCACGCCAACCTGTCACGCTCGCCACCATCTCTGCATCTGCATTGCTATCACCGTCACCACCATCACTATCATCAACAACAAGGGCAGCAGCAGCCGCCACAACAAACACACAAAACAACAAGAAGAAGAACGCCACCATCCAGCACGCATCACCCACCACCCACCACAACAGCAAAAGCAACAACTGCAAACGCACCAGCAACAGCAACAGCAGCAGCAGCAGCAGCAGCAACAACAACAACAACAGAAACGACAACAACAACAACAACAGCAGCAACAACAGCAGCAAGAACACCGCCAACAGCAACGCAACCACCAGCAACATCACCAACCCTAACACCATCAACAACAGCAGCAGCGGCTGCCACAACAACAGAAACCCCACCACCGTCACCACCGTCACCACCACCACCACCACCACCACAACCACCAACAACAACAATTATTCTAGGACCGGATAACCCCGCATGGCAGTTGCCCCCGTGTGCCAAATGAGTTAAAGGGGTGGTGGTGGCGATACGTGTGCTCGTGCGTGTGTGTGCGTGCGCCGCCTCGCACAAAGCCTTCTGCAGTCAGAGACAGAGAGGCCTCTATAGACTCTTCCAGAGGCGGGGGTTCCGCAACAGCGCGCGCCCGCTGGAGTTTTGCTGTGTGCTGTGTTGCGTGTGCAGCGCTGTGTGTGTGTTGCGTGGCGTGGTGTGTGGTGTGTGGTGTGCGCGTGCGGGGCAGCGTGGCGGGGCAGGGTCGCATTAAGTACGGGCTGCTGTTTTTGTCTGTACCAACAACAACAACAAGGAAGGCGTTGCGTCTGCCGCCGCGCGGGGTGTGTCGTTTATGTTTGGGAGGTTTTTTGGTCAAAAAGTAGAAAGCCCAGTGTTTTGTGGAAGTGTCGCAAATACCATGTTTTTCGTGTTTGATTTATGTTGATTTTCAGGCTCATTTTGGAAGTTTTTGTCTGGAAAGCTTCAAAACGCGAGGTTTTTTCATGCTGGACGTTTCCAAAGTGAAGCAACGCGAAACGGCAAGCACGGGTTGACAGAGCAACTGGTAGCGTTTGAGAAGTAACGCAACCAAAGAAACAGAAGACACAAGCCGCATTCGCATGGACGTCATCACCCCCCCCCATCCCCCCCACCTCCGCACAGAGCTGAAAGACAGATTGCAAGTTTAAGCTGGCATGCGAGAATCGGCAAAAACACCGTAAAAAAACAATGCGAAATGCGACACAAAAGAAACAAAAAGAGAAACAGAAGACACAAGCCGCGTTCGCATGGACGTCATCACCCCCCCCCCCCCATCCCCCCCAAGCCCCGCACAGCGCTGAAAGACAAATGCAAGTCGAAGCCGGCATGTGCAGAAAGTCGAAATTCGGCAAAAAAACACTGCAAACACCGATGCGAAATGCGACACACAGGAAAACACCAAAAAAACGATGCGAAATGCAGAGCCGAACATGTGCTTGCACACTGGAGCCCGCCGGCGGAGACACTTTTTTGGTAGAAAACACAGCAAAAACCGATGCGAAAGCAAAAGCAAAGGTTAAACGTCAGGTGACGAAAGTGCCAAAACTCGAGTTTCAGCGCATGCCAGCAGAGGAATTGCACCACCCCGCGCGGCGGCAGACGCAACAACAACAACAACCACAACCACAACAACCACAACAACAACAATAACAAGAAAAATAATAACAGTAACAACAAGAACAAGAATAACAATAATAACAAGACGAACAAGAAAAAACAATAGCAATAAGAACAAGAACAATAAGAACAACAACGACAACAACGACAACACCAACAACCACGCCGGACCACGACCACCCCGCAACAAGAACAAACACGAGAACCCGCAACCCACACCTCGCAACCCATAACCTCAACCACAGCAGCCACAACAACAACAACGACACCACCATCCACAACAACCAAAACAGCTACATCATCCGGATCAGCCGCAACATCAGCATCATGGGCGGCGGCATCGGCAACGACAACAGCACTAGCAAACACAACAGCAGCAACAGCTGTGAGAAACACACAAACAAGACGAACGACCACACGCACGACAACAGGCAACAGCAACTGCAGTAGCGAATGTAATGGCAGCGCGAAGTGAAAAGCTTAGCGTTCAGGGACGACTTCTTGGGTGGCTTGCTGCATTTTTGCAAAAAGCCTCAACTCCGCCCTAAAGCACCAAACCACGACCCTGACATAGCCCAAACCCGCTTTACATCAGTTTTCTTAGAGAGTTTTTGATTTAGTGTGACAGTCGCTGTAGAGGAATGTACAAAACGTATTCCAATCATAAAGGTCATTACAACCCAACAAACCCTGAGCACCCTATTCTCACAACTTTTGCACGGCAGGTCGCATGCTCGGGCAAGACATCGGGACCCAGGGACTCAGCCACGGTCTCGCGAATGACCTCACAAAAACATCGCGAAGAGGGTGTTGGGGTTGGGTTTCTACAGGGTGTTTAGGAGTGTCTTCTTGAGTTTTGCCAAGCTTGTAAGAGAGAGAAGTGCTGTTCGTGGATTTGGCGAACAACAACAACCCTCTCACCCGGAACAACAACGCAAGGAGGCGCAGGGGCATTCTTACAGTTGTTGTTCGAGGAACAACAAGGGGGAGCGACTACAACAGGGGGGCGGTGAAGCGCAGTGGGGAGAAAAAACAACCAGGGTTGAAGGGGGGGTGGGCAGGGGGGCAGGACAACAACAGCAAGTGGGAGAACAACAACGACAACAACAAGAAGATGTGGGTGGGTGTGTTGTTCTTGGGGGGGTGGTCAGAACGACAGGGCCAAACAACACGCAAACACAGAGGGGGCTGTTGTTCCGGAACAACGGGGTAAACAACAAGGGGGGGAAGAACAACTGCATGTTTTCGAAGAGCAGCAGGGACGACAAGCCAACAACCGCCGTCGCCGAATCCAGGAACGAGTTTGAGATACAGATCAATGGCCATTTGGCCATTTTAACATGGGATCGACTGCTACCATTTGATTCGGGATTTTGACATGTCGCTTTAAGAAGAGCCATGGCCTTGTGAAGGGTTGGGTTGACAACGATCGGTCAATGAGGCATCCAGAAAGAGGGATCGACCGCTACGGCCGCATGCGCGGTCAAGTTTAAGATGTGGATTTAACCACCATCGCCTTTTGAGGGTTCAATTTTGGCTGTTGTTGTGGGCGGTGGCGGTGGTGGTATGCATGCGTGCGTGCGTGCATGCGTGCGTGCGTGCGTGCGTGCGTGCGTGCGTGCGTGTGGGTGTGTGGGCGTGTGGGTGTGTGGGCGTGTGGGTGTGTGTGGCTGTGGGTGTTTGTGTGTGCGTGTGTGTGTGTGTGTGCGTGGGTGTGTGGGTGTGTGGGCGTGTGGGCGTGTGGGTGTGTGTGGCTGTGTGTGTGCGTGTGTGTGTGTGTGTGTGTGGGGTCTGTGGGGGCGTGGTGGGGGTGGGAACAACAACAAACTGCGGGGGTATGGGCTGTGATGGCTGCTGCAACAGCACCCAGAAACCCAGCCCTGGCCCCGATCAGGCTACAGAGAAAGAATACGGTATCTGCACCGCCGCTCCAAGACCCAAAACTGCTTCATGAGTCCTCATACCTGATTATCCATAACCGACCACAGAAACATCCCAACCCCTCGTAAAGCATTATTGAACCCATTTTGCCGGAAGGGGGGCAATGTACGGAGGTTAAGACATGCTGCGATCTGACCATGACATGATGGGTGGTTGAAAGCGCGGTTGATGGCTGCCAGATGACTTTTGCTGCTTTCTGGGTTTCGGCTTTCTGGAGTTAAAGTCTCTAGATTCAGGGTTCATGGATTCATGGGGTTTCTGGGTCCGGGTGAAGGTTCCGTCCAGGATATGTAGCTTTAGGTGCTAAAACCGACGACCTGCCAATGCATTAAATGGCCCGGCGATTCTCAGGGGGCCCAGTCGCCACCCCTCCTCTCCACAATACATGAACAGCCCTGAAAGGAAAGCTGCTGTAGAGTTGAGACAAGTGCTATAATGGCTTTGTAGGCTGCATGTTGAAGAATACCATCTAGATCTAGATGGGAACGCTTGTTCTTTTCGTTGTTTGCTATGCTCATCTTTCGCTTGTAAGACAGGGGCCACCATGTCGCTTGAGCTGAAGTTTTTCTGGGTCATCGCGCTACTACCGTTTATTCAAAGCCCGAGACACGACCAATCCTTCTGCGGGTGAGAACTCATACCTTGAAGGGAACCTTGACCGAGCTCAACCTTCTCCTGAAAAGCAAGCAGGTCCAGCAAGCCTCCTCCTTATTACACTCCTTCTTTGCTGGCCAACTTTCCTGGCCTCAGGGGCCGAAACCCAACACAAAATCAACAACTGAGCCTTAAAGCCGCAAGAATTCTTGCACGGGCCTGGTGAACCGCCGCTAGGTTGCTGGCGTTCGTAAACCTTGGAGCTTGCACAATTTAGGGTTTAAGTGCTTCGGCTGAAGGTGTCAAAGTTCTAGACCCGAAACATCGATAACAAAGCTTAACCCTGACCTCCCGGACCGCAACGACAAAACAATGCAAAAACAAAGCAAGCACGCAAACTGACAAACTAAAGCAAACACACACGCACCCACCCACCCACCCACCCGCCCGCCCGCCCGCCCGCCCGCCCGCCCACCCACCCACCCACCCACCCACCCACCCACACCCACCCACACCCACCCACACCCACCCACACCCACCCACACCCACCCACACCCACCCACACCCACCCACACCCACCCACACCCACCCACACCCACCCACACCCACCCACACCCACCCACACCCACCCACACCCACCCACACCCACCCACACCACCCACACACCACACCCACACACACCCACACACACCCACACACACCCACACACACCCACACACACCCACACACACCCACACACACCCACACACACCCACACACACCCACACACCCCCACACACACCCACACACACCTACACACACACACACACACCCACCCCCACCCACCCCCACACCCACCCACCCACCCACCCCCACCCACCCCCACACCCACCCACCCACCCACCCACACACAAACACCCCCACCACCAACACACCCCCCACCCACACACCCACCCCCACAACACACCCACCCACACCCCCTCACCCCCCACCCACCCACCCACCCACCCACCCACACACCCACACACCCCACCCACCACAAACACACCACACACCCACCCCCACCCACACAGACACACAGACCACAAAGACACAGACACACAGACACACAACACCACACACCCACCACCCACACACCCACACCCACCCCCCCACACCCACAACCCACCCCCCACACACCCACCACACACACCCACCACCACACACACACCCCACACACACCCACACACACACACACACACACACACCACACACACACACACACCCACACACACACACACACACACACACACACACACACACACACACACCCACACACACACCACACACCCACACACACACACACACCCACACCACACACACACACCACACACACACACACACCACACACACACACACACACACACACACACACACACACACACACACACACACACACACACACACACACACACCACACACACACACACACACACACACACACACACACACACACACACACACACACACACACACACACACACACACACACACACACACACACACACACACACACACCACACACACACACACACACACACACACACACACACACACACACACACACACAACACACACACACACACACACACACACACACCCACACACACAACACCCCACACACACACACACACCCAACACACACCCCCACACACACACCACACACACACACCCCACCCACCCACACACCCACACACACAACCACCACACAAGCACACACCACCCACCACAACACCCACCACACACACACACCACACACACAACACCCACACCACACACACACCACCACACACACACAAACACACCACACGCACCCACCCACCCCACCCACACACACACACCACACACAACCACACCACACACACACACACACCCACACACACCCACACACCCACACACCACACACAACACACACACACACACACACACACACACACACACACACACACACACACCACCACCACAAACCACACCCACCCACCACCACCACACACACACACACACACACAAAGACACAACACACCTCACACACCCCACCACAACCACCACCCACACACACCACCAACACACCACCACACACCCACACACCACACACCCACCCACCCACCACACCCACCACACACAACCCACCCACACACCCACACCCACACCCACCACACACACCCACACCCACCCCCACCACCCACCAAACCCACCCACACACCACCCACCACACCACCCCACCCACCCCACCCACACCCACCCACACCCCCCACACCCACCCCCACCCAAACCACACCACCCACCACCCACCAAACCACCCACCCAACCCAACCCCACCCACACACACACCACACCCACACACCCACCACACCCACACACACCACACACACCCACACCCACACCACCCACACCCACACACCCACAACACCCACACCCACACCCAACACCCACCCACACACCCACACACCCACACACCCACCACCCACCACCCACACCCACCACACACCCCACACCCACCCACACCACCCACCACCACCCACACCACCCACCCACACCACCCACCACACCCACCCCCCACACACCCACACCCCCACCCCACACACCCACCCCCACACACCCACCCCCCACCCACCCCCACCCACACCCACCCCACCACCACACCCACCCCCCACACCCACACCACCACCCACACCCACACCCCCACACCACACACCACACACCACACCCACACCCACACCCCACACCCCACACCCACACCCACACCACACACACACCCACCCACACCCACCCACCACACCCACCCACACCACACACCCCACACACCCACACACACAACACCACACACACACACACACAAACACACACACACAGACACACACCACAGACACACACACAAGACACAACAGACACACAGACACACACACAGGGACACACAGACACACAGCACAGACAGACACACCAGACAACACCACCACACACACACACAGACACACACACACAGAAGACACACACACAGACACACACCACACAGACACCCCACACACAGGACACACAAGACACACAGACACACACACACACACACAGACACACACCCACACCAGACACCACACACACACACACAGACAGGACAAACAACACACAGACACACACAGACACACACAGACACACACAGACACACACAGACACACACAGACACACACAGACACACACAGACACACACAGACACACACAGACACACACAGACACACACAGAAACACACAGACACACACAGACACACACAGACACACACACACACACACACACACACACACACACACACACACACACACACACACACACACACACACACACACACACACACACACACACACACACAGACACACACACAGACACACACACACACACACAGACACACACCGACACACACCGACACACCCCGACACACACCGACACACACCGACACACACAGACACACACAGACACACACAGACACACACAGACACACACAGGACACACACAGACACACACAGGACACACACAGACACACAGAGACACACACACAGACACACACAGGACACACACACACAGACACACAGAGACACACACACACACAGACACACAGACACGCAGACTCGCAGACACGCAGACACGCAGACACGCAGACACACAGACACACAGACACACAGACACACAGACACACAGACACACAGACACACAGACACACAGACACACAGACACACACACAAACACACACACACACACACACACACACACACACACACACACACACACACACACACACACACACACACACACACACACACACACACGTGCACATAGGCGCAAACAAGCACAACAAATCCTAAACCTAGGAAATCCCAACGGCCTAGAATCGAGGCAGGGAAAGCAACAAACTTGAATGCTGCTGAAAAGCGATGAGGTGTCCGCCATTGAGAGGCCGAGACAGCCCTCAAGGACGACTGCGCTCCTCACTCTTTGGGAGGCTTCAATAAGGCTTTTCACGACTTTATAAATTTATAAGGTTAACCTGGGATCGACAAGCCAGGCTTCTAGAAGGGTTTCCATGGAAGTCCTAAGTAGAGTTTTCAGCAAGGGCATTCAGCCACAGTATAGTTGGACTATGGCACTATGCATTCTGGCCGCAGTCCCACGAACGACGTCTCAAGTCCTTTCAAGCTCCTTTCATTCGTCGTCTCGGGCTGTTCCGTATGGTGTCGTTTTACCTGCCCCTGAGGTGTTGGCCTTGGTGCGCTCTTCCGGCGGTCTTCGTTCCACACTGCGGGGTCTATGCTGGCATAGCATTGGGTGTTGAAAGGGTTTTGTAGGGATTCGCAAAGCTTTGAGACAGTTCCTTGTGGTTGTCCAGGGTTTGGGGGGTTGTAGAAGGATGTAAGACAAGTGCGCTTTGTTTTTGCAGGGTGTGAACTTTATTGGGATGCTTGTTGTACACAAGGGTTTGTGGTGTCGTATTTGGTTGTAGAAGATTTTGAATCGAAAAGAATTTTAGATTCTTATGAGGTGTTAGAAGGGTTGTAAAACAGTGTTTTCGCAGGGTGCTAGAAGGGCGTGTATTCAAGCTAAAAAATGTCGGGAGGCTTCGCTCCAATTTTTCTGTTATTGCCTAGTTGACTTGAATTTGGGCGATCTGCTTGCTGCAGAGAGGCGTCATGGTTGTGCTTGATGCCTGCGCAACATTCCCGTGCATGGACATCTCTAAACTGCCCTAAACTTTGCTTTGAATAATCTAGACAGGTTGCCCCATTGAAAAACAACAGCTTCGCAACTTCACCGGAATCGAAGGCTCCTCGCAGTGTATCTGCATCAATCAGTGACCCGGTCTCAGACACTCTGAAGGCTGACCCGTCAGTCCATTCCCCAAACCCCAAGCCCCGTTTTCTGAAGTTCTCAGCAGTACCTACTCAGGCTCTGAAACCGCAGGCCTAGATGCCGCTCTTACAGGTTCGGGGAGGTTATGCAAGGGTTTCTTGCTATCGTTTTGTCGCTACTTTCCTCAAAGCATCCAGCCCGAAAACATCACGATTATACAGTTGTTTTTGCGCTACTTCTGCTATGTACTAAGGTGGCTTCAGGGGTTCCTGGTCGCACCAGCGATGCTACTTCCCATGTGCTCATGGCAGCGGCGGCAGCAGTGGCTCCTCATACTGCTACCACCATCACTCCACCGTCTCAACTACCACCGACACTGCCGTTGCCTTGGCCCTTTGGCCTCCTACCGCAACTAGTACCACATAGTACCACCATCACTACTGCCCATGCCCGCCAGTCGCACTACTAGCACCGCTAGCAACAATTTCTACTCCTAGTCTCTTGCTACGCCTACGACTACCACCACTAGTACTCATGCTGCTGCTACCACTACTTCTTCTACTACTGCGACTGCGACTACGACGACTGCTAGGTTTGTTGCCTGTTGTGTCGCTCTTACAGTGCTAATGCCATTGTCGCTGTAAATGCTCGTTTCGCAGTCTATTGGTTACTTTCGTTGCTGTTACCGTCGTCAGCACTCGAACTATCATTGTCAGTATGCCATAATCCACCAGGCCCTTCTTGTAATTGTTTTTTGGTGCGGCTTGTCAGCATTACGACTCACACACAGCTGCCAACCAACTCACGCGTCCCAGCTACGTCCATGGCACTGCTTCCAAGTCGCTGTCGTGGTGGTAAGTGTTAGTGTCGAGGTTGCAGTCGTAGTGTCCGTGCCTTGCAAGTCGGGGGATTGTCGCTTTGCAAGAGCCAATGTTGACCGGAGTGTGCAATCCAATCCTGAGGGGCACATCAAGCAGTCCACAGCTGCCTTGCGGGATTTGCGCTGTCAGGGTGAGGCTTGGCCTGAGGAAGTTGATGCTGTCGTCGATGTACGCGTCACCGTGGTACTGCTGGTTGTGGAGGAAATAGTGGTAGTTGAAGTTATCGTGGTGGCCGTGGTGGTGTCCGTGCCTCGCAGGTCGGCAACTACACTTTGGCATACAAGCTTTGGGCGCAGGGGTCTAAGTGAGGGGATTGCCGTCCGTGTGAAGCCTTGTAAGTGTGCTGGTGTTGGCCCAAAGCGAGCGGTGCGCAGCTGCGCTATCGATACTCCGGCTTGGGCTGTCGGCTGGGCCTGAGGAAATTGATGTCGTCCGCGAGCTAGTCACCGTGGATGTTGTCGAAACAGTCATTGATGTGGTGGTGGTAGTCTGCGTGCCTTGCAGGTTGCGGGGTACGGATTCGGCGAATTGGCGTTTTTTGGTGGTCAGGTGAGAATGATCCGACTTCAACCGTGAGGACAAGAGCAAGCCCGGTCAGGGCTCCTTAACCAGACGCCGAGGCACGACGGAAGACAGGCAAAATGGGGCCAGGAACGCTTGCCGTTCCCTGGCAAGCAGGCTTTCTGAACAGAAACACACACGTGTGAAACCGCCTGCCACGAACGCCTTGCCAATGCGTTGTATATGTGTTCATCCACCGTCTCCCTCATGTATATACTTGGGCCTCGACATCTGCGGATATGTGTATTGAATGTTATATATATATATATATATATATATATATATATATATATATATTGGTCTGTCCGAATAGGGGGCGCCCTACCAGGAGTGTTGGGATCGGGGTATGTTTCGCGGGTATGTTTCAGGGTATGTTTCGGGGTGTGTTTCGGGGTGTAGTAGCAATAGAGATAGTAGCAGCAGTAGTAGTAGTAGCAGTAGCAGTAGCAGTAGCAGTAGCAGTAGCAGTAGCAGTAGTAGTAGTCGTCGTAGTAGTAGAAGTTGGTAGTAGTGATAGCAGTCGTAGTGATAGCAGTAGTAGTAGTAGTAGTAGTGATAGCAGTAGTAGTAGTAGTAGTAGAAGTAGAAGTAGTAGTAGTAGTAGCAGTAGTAGTAGTTAGTAGTAGTAGTCGTAGTAGTAGTAGTAGTAGTAGTAGTAGTAGTAGTAGTAGTAGCAGTAGTAGTAGTAGTAGTAGTTAGTAGTTAGTAGTTAGTAGTTAGTAGTTAGTAGTTAGTAGTAGTAGTAGTAGTAGTAGTAGTAGTAGTAGTAGTAGTAGTAGTAGTATAGTAGTAGTAGTAGTAGTAGTAGTAGTAGTAGTAGTAGTAGTAGTAGTAGTAGTAGTAGTAGTAGTAGTAGTAGTAGTAGTAGTAGTAGTAGTAGTAGTAGTAGTAGTAGTAGTAGTAGTAGTAGTAGTAGTAGTAGTAGTTAGCAGTAGTAGTAGTAGTAGTAGTAGTAGTAGTAGTAGTAGTAGTAGTAGTAGTAGTAGTAGTAGTAGTAGTAGTAGTAGTAGTAGTAGTAGTAGTAGTAGTAGTAGTAGTAGTAGTAGTAGTAGTAGTAGTAGTAGTAGTAGTAGTAGTAGTAGTAGTAGTAGAAGTGACAATAGCTGCAGTAGTGTCACAGGCATCGTTGTGGGCTGCAGGTCTGGAAGGTCCCGACTTGTCAGGCGGTTAGTACCGCTTCGAAGCGGAAAATGCCAACAAGCCACTTGGAGCAAATCCAAGTATGTTTCGGGTATGTTTCAGGTATGTTACGGGAAACCCTTCCTGACCTGGGTTGAGAGACTCTAGACCTTCGCCCGCTGCTAACTTCATCCAAACGATTTGAATAACACGGGGGTATGTTTCAGGGGTATGTTTCGGGGTATGGTTCAGGGTATGGTTCGGGGTATTTTTCGGGGTGTGTTTCGCGCAAGGACAACACTCCTCCAAGACTACAAATTCAACCCCCCCTAGCTGACCCTTTACGAATAGCAACATCTGCATATGTATGCGCACAGTTAAGCAAACAGGTCAATGCATGCGTCCACATATTCACATCACAGCCAAACACGTACAAAGGCATGTGTGTTCACCCAACAGAGACACGATACTTAGCTGGTGCAACTCTTCGGGATGCGCAGGTTGAGGCGCCTGCTTTTGAAGATCTCCTGCCCTGTAATTACCCGAAGCCTAAACCCCGGCCTGAAACCTAGCTTAAACTGTCGAAACTGTTGTAAGGTCTGGGTATAAGTCCCGATAGAGACTCCACGGGGCTCAGGAGTTAAAGGTGGAGGTATAAGGTTTGGAGATGACGGTGTTTGTCCACAAACAGAACGATCTCGCAAGTGGTGGTGAGACATATAAAGACTATAAAGATTTCATTTTGGAGAAACAGGGCCGGTTTCGGGCTAGCGGCTTTAGGGTGCGAGTCTAAGATCTGGTTGAAAGCGTGTTACGATTGTCTTGGTAATCGTGGTAGAGGGTAGATTGATGGTTTAATGTTTATGGGTGGCATGATGTCATGTGTGAGATTCTTCTCACAGAATCTTATATTATGTCGAAGTAAAGGTCGGCATTCTGCACGTGGGAGTCGCCATGCCCTGACAAACAAAAACGCCGTGCTTATGCCGAGACTATGCGCGCTCGGAATTACTGGCAACCGTCTCGGTGGAGCCGGCATGTCAGCACACAAAAGCAGGTTGCGGAAGGTGCCAAGGAGTCTTGCTTGGAACTGATACCCCGCTCGGTGGACTCCGCACGTCCGGATCCTCCAGATGCGATTCATTGTAGATTCCACTGCATTGGCCTTGAAATGACAACCTTCTTGGTCATGCCGGCACGTCCAGGCTCTGCGAACACCGCCAGGATATGGGAGGAAACATCTTGGTCATGTCTCTGAAGCTCGCTAACGCATGGGTGGAAGCATTTTGACCGCGGCAGGCAGCCAGTACATGGGTGGACACATTATGTTGGCCGTGCTCCGGCGCAGAGTGTGGTGCTGCGACGAATTCGCGCTCGGACTTGTCAAACCTTTCTTGGACACTGCCTCTTCGCGTTCTGCGGACTTTTGTGGTACATGATGCCACCAAGGTTCATCACGTTGGCCTCGTCTAGGCCTTGAAATAACAACTCTGTCGGTGATGTCAGTGCGTGCGGGTGCTGCGTGTATATCAAGTTTAACCTCGAAATGTCAAAACCCCGTCACCACATGAAGGGAAATACTTTGGCATTGGTTCCGCCCGTACATGGGTGGAAGCTTTTAGGTAACATCTCGGAATCTCGCCACGACATCGGGCGAAGCATTTTGGCCTTGGTGTCCTGGTTGTCTTGTGGTGGTCGTGATCGTCCTGGTCGTAGTGGTTGCCGCGGTGGTCTTGCCGGTTCTGGTAGTCGAGTTCGTTCTCGCGGTCGTCGTGATGGTCTTCATGTCGTAATGCTCTATCACTGTTTGGGGACCTACACTGGCATCATAGATACTTTGTAGAAGAGTCTACCGAAGGGCCAATATCGGATGGATGTATCGATGGTTGGATCGATGGATCGATAGATGGATGGATAAATGGATGGATAGGTGGATGGTTAAAGGGATAGATGGATGGAGAGAGGAGAGAACAGACGGATGGAGGGATGGATGCATGGATGCATATCTGCATGAAGAAAAGGACGCGGTGCTGACTACCTCGCTCCTCCAAACGCTTTCGAGACACCCGTTCTACAGTTTGTCGTTGCTGTCATTGTGGTTGTCGCTTGCAGTGTTCGGTTTAGAGTCGAGGGTCGCGAATAAACGCAGGGTCACAGAAGACGACTTGAACTTCTTGAATTCCTGAGATGGATCTTTGGTTTTTGGAGGGGGCCGCTACCGCAAACACTGTCTAAGTCTACTGCAAACCCTCAGGGTAGTATATAAACCACAACCCCGAAATAAACTCTCATCGACCTAGAACCTTAAAGCCTCCAAGCCCTAATCCAAAACAATCGGCCCGCACTGTCTTGGCTTTTCAACAGCAACCGCATGTGAAAGTTTCAGAAAACCGGGGACCCGAACAATTCCCTAACACAGACCCAACGCGATAAGACCCTTACTACACGGATCCTCCCAACGAAGGACACCCTAGCACCCTTCCAAAAACAAAGGTTACAAACAAAAACACAAGGTTTCAGAAAAGCCCAAGGGGGCCGCCTGGAGCAGGACAATGGCGAAGCCAACCGTGGCCTGTGGTTTTGACTTCAGTGATCAGGGTATGGGTCTGGCATTTACATATTGAGGGCCGGGGTTTGGGTTTAGGGACGAGGTTGCGAAAAGGGACCAGTTCGATAGACTTCACACACGCCTGCGTTTCGAGTATCCTTGCCGCAGTCTTTTCTGGCTGTTGCTGCTTTCGGCTGGCTCATCTGCAAAGAAATAACGTAGGAGACTGAAAGCACCATGTCAGCCACGCAAATCAAGCAAAACAAACCAGAGTATCGTGTTTGGCTTGGCTGGCTTTTAATCAAATAGTTTCTGAAGGAACAGCACAACTACTCAGTCACATGTGTGATCATTTTTAAGTTGGCCAAGGCGCAGATCTTCAGAAAATACAGAGGCCATACCTAATCCCTTAACCTGAAAACCCGAAGCTCGAACACGACGGCTGAATCCTAAAACCAACCAAAAGGCTGACACCTAATATCTAATAATGACACCTTGAAGTTCCAAAGCCATACGGCCCCAAAGTTTTGGAACACAAGGACATGAGGCACGACCGACCTCCAAACATCTCTCGGGGCCAAAACTCACAAACGATTTACTTCAAAACTAAAGAGTTTTAGCGCTTTACGTTGTTGGTTTAGGGTCTTGGTGTTACGGTAGGTTCGCACGACCATCAAGGAAACTTAAAATGTATCCCAAATAGCCGCCTGACAAAGGATTCCGTTTCTAGGGTGACAGCAAGGTTGCTTAGGTCGCGTCGAGAAGATTGGTGTACTGCTGCGACTGCTTCTCTGAAAAATAACTCATACTCAAACACTCAAGAGACTTAGTAAATAGGGGTCTACAGTTTATGGGTTTGTAAGTTTTGAATCGGGTGCCATGGTGTTTATGGAGCCTGTCAGCATTGCGGGCTGAGCACATTGCTTACAGATCCATAGGTTATGGTTTGGATAGCCTTGATTCGGAAACTTACACTACAGCCCCAACACTGTCTCTTGAGGAAAAGGTTCTGAAGGTGCCATAACGCCGTCCGCATACAGGGTATACCAGGAGGAATGGCAGCCTCGAATGTGGGTTTAGAACTATTTGGGCGTTGATGACTTTTTGCAAGATCTGGGAATTCATAACAAGCTTGCGGAGGTTGTGGAAAAGGGGTTTAGTTTGAATTAAGATCCCGGGTCATACAGCAAAAGACTGCCTTCCTGGTCACACTAACTTGAACCAAGCTCTTCAACAAGACGTTGTATTCTTGCCAGGCCCTTTGGGGCTTGGGGAGAACTTAGGGTTCAAGGAAGTACATTGGAACGGTCCTTATTTGGATTCGCGTTTCAAAACCTACCGGTCCCGACAAATCCTAATGCCGTAGTACTTTAGACCGGCTGAAATCCTTGTTGTAGGCAGGCTTCTAGCCAAAAGCAGGGCTGCGGATCTGCACGGAAAGTGTTGCAGTGTTCAGGAGTGTGTTTGTGTTACCGCCGCTCCGCACAAACAGCTTCGTAATGTTCCTTATGTTCACGCGGAAAATGTTATGATTTGCGCATGTAGGACTCAATTCAGCTGTGTGCTTGATGTAGAAACATCATATCGCAGTAAACCCATCAAGAACCACCTGGTGCTGGAGAACCAGTCACGCCTAGAACCCACGATGGTTTTTCAAACAGATGCACAAGGCGTTTTCACAAGGCCGCCTCGACGCTCGCTTGCGTCCTCTTAACTTCACCTTCGTGTAAAAAAGTGGGCGAAGCTGTCAACCCTTTGCCGCAAAACCCCAAGACCCTGAATGCTCATTTTACAACCGAAGCAGCATTCCAGGAGTTCTGCTGACCAATCCTCTCGGGGCTCTTGGCGCAAAAGTCTAGGGTTTTGGCGAGCTTTGCATATAGAGGTTCACCGGATTTTGTAAGGGTTTGGGTCTTCGGGTTTCGGTTCGGGTTAGCAGATTTCCCTCCATGTGGATATGACATCATGGAACAGCATGAGGCTTCTTAACATCACAGCATCCCGGATTTCGAGACCGGTATAATCAGGATCCTGCTTTTGCGGGTTTTCTGACTCTCTCTCTCTCTCTCTCTCTCTCTCTCTCTCTCTCTCTCTCTCTCTCTCCTCATGTATCAACCTACTTAAACCACGCCACATGTGCAACAGTGACAGTTTTTGCCAGGGCTGCGCCACCTTCAAGTGGAAGCTTGTTTGAAGACAAGCAGCGGCTTGTTTTTTTATGTCGGGAGGCGAATCGTCAGCACACTCAGCACCCTTCCTCCGGCCGGGCGGTGGGAACTTCGATTAAAGAATGCTTTGGAAGCAGCAATGCAGGCCAGTGCCCGGCAAGCAAGCCTCAGTGCTTGCTACGCGGGTGCAAGAAACGACTACACAACAAGAGACAGAGGGAGCATGTCGCCGCTTACGGGGCTGGTGGCAATTTGCGCCTCCCAATCTTCGAGTCAAACCACCTTTGCAACAACTGCGATTGAAAGAATTGTGAGCAGAAGCACCTCCCTTCTTGAACAAATCGCACATCTACACACAAGCCGCAGCTGTAGTTAAATCGCCGCAACCAACCGCATGGTGTGCATCAGTGCACCAAGCACCCAATCCGATTGAGAAGCCCCATGCGCAGCCAGTGGCGGGAGCTTTCAGCAAGAAGAACTGTGGTACTTCCAGCATGGCATATGAAACCTATATGATGTTGTTTGGTTGTACCGGAAAGCGGCCCGGCACGGCTGCGATCAGTGCCCGCTGTGTCACCTCCAGCACCCCCATGGCGTTATGCAATCAGTCAGAACACTGCCAGCTGCCAAGCATGTCACAGCGCAATGCGCGTTGCCCTCAGTGTTCAGGAACTAACCACATGCAGAGGCGCGTATTTGCTCAGGCATCAGCTGCACCAGACACAGACCGTGACAGCCAGGCCCACTTGAGATTCCCTGCACCCAGTGCGGGATGAAGGACTCTCATGGCCGAGGTGCACGATTGCAGGCGGGTATAAGGGTTCGGGAGCAATCGCAAGAGCGCGAACAGACACATCCATTCTGTAACCGGGGCTGCTTGAGCGTGCAAGAGAGACTGCTCGCGCTGCGATGCAATCTCAAATCCGGGCCGATCAAGCACAGATCTCGCCCAGGTGCTGGCAGCAAAGTCCCTTCATGGTCTGGCATGGGCGGTGTAGCGCTTGGAAGCCACACTTTCACGCAATTCGAAACGGCACACGTTGTTTGGGTTTGTATTCCAGAAAGTGAGGAGGCACCGCAGTCATTCGCATGAGCTTGTCGCGGAGGAGCCGAGAACAAAAAAGTCTGCATTCGCACCTACTTTCCATCCCAAATATGTCGACTCCGTCCCATCGCTAACTTTAGCGTGTAAGACATCTGGACTCCTATAGAATGGACAATGGCCCAAAAGGGCCCAACGCTGCGGCCAGCGGGTTTTACATGGTTTTTGTGGGATCTATAAGGGCTCCATCCAGGCTCTACGTAGTATACGGTTCGTTGCTCGACATATGGAGCTTATGAGGGTATTTCTATGGGTGCTAAAAGCTTTCCACATTGTCTCGGATCTCGTAGTGCAGCCATGAAGATGATCGACCCTCAAAACGAGGGTTGCGATTCAGACGACAAGCACTTGCCCACCCCACGCAGCAGCATGCTAAATCGACATGTCTGAGCGTAAACCTACAGTGTCGACTGGAACGAACACGTCATAGTGCCTGGTGCTTCTTCGCGACTGTGCCCACGAGCTCCAACTTTGTGCCGCAGTCGTCTACAAACCACACCTCAAGGCATCGAGAGCCAGTTACTATTTTCCCTTAGCAAAGTCACGCCCAGTGCTCTACAGCAGGCTGGGGGGGAGCTGATGCACGCCGGCACTGCAAGTAGTCCACATTGCTACCGGTCTCGCATTTCACCTGATCGCTGTTGTTGCTGCTCGGCACGTACTTAATTAATCACTCACTCACTCACTGACTTACCTCCTTAATTGTTTTATTCTGCTTACTTTATTTGCTTTACTTCACTTACAAAACTTACTTTACGTACTCTACTTACTTTCCTTCCTGCCTTCCTCACTTATCTTACTTACTTTACTACTTAACTTTATTAACTTTATTACTTGCTTTACTACATATTTGCTTACGTGCTTACTTGCTTGCTTGATTACTTGCCTGGTTTTGCATATCATCATTGATGTAGATGCCTCTTAAAGCCGAAGAACTCGTTTTGGAGTGTTGCGACAGATACTATTACCACCGCGATTTGCTATCGCCGGTTTGTTAAGCCGCGTCAGCAATACTGGCATTCGGGTATTGCGGTAAAACTGTTGCCGCTGCTACAAGCACGCAGTACCACCAGCACTAGCACCAGCACCCAGCGCCCAGCACCCTTTTCCATCACCAGCACCTGCACCCACCACCACCACCACCACCACCACCACCGCCGCCACCTCCACCACCACCACCAGCACCACTACCACCATTATCCACCATTACTCACATGCGCACGCACCCGCACCCGCGGCCGCGCCCGCACTCGCACCCGTGCCCGCGTCCGTGCACCAGCATCCACCAGCACCGGTACCGGCACCGGCACCAGCACCGCCACTTCTGCCACGACGTTTGTGACTACTACTACTACTACTACTGCTGCTGTTACTACTACTACTGCTACTACTATTACAGCTGATCCTACTTGCTCTTGTGCGTATACTTCCAGAAGGCATGTTCATCTGAGCCTGCTACAATTGCAGCCTAGCTTTCGCCGAGACGGGGGTTTGGAAGAACCGATCATCACGCTGACTGTGTTTGTGTGTGTGTGTCGGCTTGCGTTTAAGGCTAAGGCTAAGTTGTGAATTTGAACAGACAGTATTGTTCGTATACATGCAGGTTGCTGCATGTCTTGTGCCGACCATTTTCTCTCCAGAGCAAGGCGCAGCGATACTGGGTTGGGATTGAAAGCTTCCGGTTGAACCCTTCTTTGTCCAAGGGTCACTGTAGCCGTCAATAATAGACTCGTTTGGGCCACTCGAGTCGCAGATCGCTGCCGGACTCCAGCGAATGTCACCTAATTCATGCACGGAAAAACTTGTGATCCTGTTGAATCTTGCCGCTGGCTCGTGTCAAGCTAGGTGGCTCACACTCTATAACTTGGCCATGCAAAGATCTCTTGACTCATCTCAGCAGAACTCCTTGATAACAGCCCAGGGATTGGAGTATAGTGTAAGGTGTAGGGTTTACGAATATAAAGTTAAGGACAAGCATTTTGGGACCTCTCACGGCGTCTGGGGAGAAAGGTACGTGTGTGCCCAGGGAGGAATGGACTCAGGGCTTGCGCAAGCATCTCATGCATTCTACACCAGGTTATGCAATGAGCTACGCTGTATAACCAACGGGTATTCTATGCGTCTCCTTTTCTCCACCCTGCAACAATGGAACCGCAACCGACTATTGCACAGCAACAACTCACTGCCGACAAAAACATCGCCAATTGTACACATTTCACTATGCACCACGAATCACATGCGTATGTGCCAGCAAATAGCTGGCAAGGCGGACCAGCAAAGACACTGCCAATTGATGTTTGATACACCCTGGGCTTGGTGAGGAGACAGGGTTTGGAAGCTGGCTACCCCACAACCTAAACCCCTACTTCAATCACCCTGAACCTCTGTACCCGAAACCCTAAATCCTGTAGCCTCGTCCAGTCTTCCGAAAGGATACACACAAAAGCCCGAAGCCCTTGAACCCTAAAGCCGCTAAGGTTTTTTTCAAGGCTTTCGGAGTTTAGCGCTCCTAGGGAAATGTTTGGGGGCTTTTTGATATTTAATGCCCCAAACAATGCCGGGTGGCCGTAAACTCTGTAGCCCTGCGTGCCCCAGTCTTGAGCAACCAGGGTTGCGCAGACTTGGCAAGCGCTGGATCCTGCAGCTGAACGCAGGATTTTACGACGGGCTTAACTGGGGCTTATAAGGGCTCTACAGTTTTCTGTTTTCATACGGGCTTCATTGAGTTTTCATTGCAAGGTCTCGCGTATCATTTGGCTTCTAATCAAATCGAGGCCTTTGCAGGGATCCTCATCATAAGGTCTCATCAAACGTGGTTGACATTATTGGGGTCAACCTAACATGTAGGCTTGCGGGCTTGAAGGTTGCAGGCTGCAGGGCTTTCAATTCGGATCTCAACATTTACGGTCCACATCGGGCCAATTTAGGGTTGTGGGCTTGACGGCTTAGGATGTGTAGTTAGGTTGTTGTGGGTTGGTGATTGCCAGCATGCATTGCCTCTGGATGATAACATGCTACCAGCGAAAGCACGTGGCCGGAGCATCTGCCTCCCCTCCACGCAGTCACAATGTCCATGCTTCCTATAGAAACACAGCATATGCCTGACAACGTCCATTTTGTGACAGGGAAGTTTTTTTCGTGCTTCGACATTGCTGGCCGTGCCAGCATTCCCTGACCTCACGAGCGTAAATACCGAGTATTTTGGTTTCTGCTTTGCACACCCTGCTGCCGCACCATGCATTAAAACCCAAGGAGCGCCTACTTTTTCCCTTAAAGCCCTTGAATTCCTTGAATCGTCAAGCGCTGCGGCCCTGCGCGCGTTAATACGGTTTGGGTTTCAAGCTTTAGGACTTTAGGCTGTGCTCATGACACCAGAAAAAGGTACTCGGTTACAATGTTATAGAATTAATGTGAAAGACCTCGGGCGTCACTCACCCAACATCTCAATGCCGAAGCAAGCGCTGCACGAGCAGTGAGCTGAGAGAGCTGAAACCAGCGCATGCTAGTTCAGATAAACACATTCGAAAGTTGAATACCTGCGATAAGCCTCATGTGGTCGTGCTATGCAATCTTTCTGGAAGCTCTTGAAACGGCTTGCAGGACTTCGCCTCTTGAACCGTTGAATCGGACATTTTGTGCATGTATTACTCCACGACGGGCGCCTGTGCTGACCGCCGTGGCAGAACCCACAGGGCAGAGCAGCTGGCCAGAGGAAGACCCGCCCTGGGTACATGTCAAAGGCGCTCGTCCGCTTATCAGCAGATGGTGCTGTGAGATGCGCAGATAATATTTCGCTGATGATCGATGTTTAAGGTCCGTAGTTCTTCGCGATGATCTGTCGGAAAAAAACGTGTTCTTTGGGGCTTGCATTGGCCTGTGCTCAGCGTAAGACGTAGAAGCTAAATCGTAAGCAACAAACCCTCAGGCCGAATAGCTCCCAGCTGCTTTCGCGACGTGTCCACCGTGGTGCTGTCGATTCGAGGAAATATACCACGACCCGCACCGCAGTAGTAGAAGTAAACTGCGGCCGAATGATGCTAAGACAAGAGACTGGCCAGGTCGATTCAGTAGGAGCTCAAATGTTGCGATCGGGCTTCCAACATCTCGGGAATGATGCAGGCTACAACAGTCACCACTGCCGGATAGGTAAGACCGCGAGCCCACTACAGGGGAACATCAGTGAACCTCAAATCATGTCAATGACCTGGCCAAGCCGCACATGATGCATAGCCCTCTTGAGAGACCTGGATGCCGGTATGCATATTTCTATGCGGGCATGCATGTATATACGTGCGAATGTATGGTGATATGCATGCATGCATATACGTTTGCCAATAATAGGCCTCTCTGCGCGGAAGATTTTGACAAGTTCAATCTCAAATGATTCAATGAGGTCTTCCATAGGAAAACGTACCCCAAATGGTCAAGAATGGGATTTGTTGGATTTGTTACGACCTACTGCCCAGCATTCCGGGTATATTAGGAACCAAATAATAAATCAAAATGGCATCAAGATTGGGAGATGTTTCTAGATTTTTCTATTCGTTCTAGCAATTTTGTCATGTCCAATCGCCTTCCTTTTTCTTGATTTTAATAGAGAACTGCCAAGCCAAACAAATATCAGAGGACCACACCTAAGAAAGCATAGGATCAACATCAGCAAACACAAGCAACACAACAGAGGTCCATGCTTCAATATTGAACCTTGGCCCTAATGATGTTCTGTATTTGTACCCGCTTCGTTTTCGTTCTGTTCATGCCCTATCCTGTCCGTAGTTTTAGATTCTAAATCAAGGGCCTTGCTTGCAATTTGGACCTATTGCCGTCCTTTCGTTGTCGTTTCGTTGTCGTCATGCCTTCTCCAAAATGTCCTTGTTGGTTTCCACTATTACACAAGATCCTTCCCAATAGATACACCCGACACAGCTAACCATAAACGACACCCGTGTATACACATGTATATGCCCCCAAACACCATTATCCGTGTATATGCGCGTACCCAAAAACAAACCAATAAAACAACAGAGGATTAGAACCATACCTAGATAAGAACAGTAAATCACTGACTGTAATTAAAAAAACATGTATACATGTACGTGTATATATGTATACAGGAAACATATATACACACACACACACACATATATATATATATATATATATATATATATATACACATATACATACACATACATAGAGATGCATGCACACATGCATGCATATATACATGCATACGCACACTGCGAAAGTACGCTGCATCAGGTATCCACGCAAACTACCCTAAAGTAGCGTGCAGAGCTCACTCAACTTATGAAGCCAAGTGGTCTTGAGCCATGGATGTGACAAAGTGAACCCTCTCTTGCAATTTCATGTTTGTTAGTGAACACCAGGATGCAACCGAAGTTTCCTAGGCGCTCGAGTGTGGCCGAAGCCAGAATCACAAGATCAACATGATACTTGGCGTGTCTGGTTGGAGGCATGGCGGAACCGCAGATGCCCTTGCACCTGCTTTCCAGCCAAGCAAAGATCTCCATCTTCCCCACCCTGGCACGTGCCCTGAGCCGTGGAAATCATTTCCTTCTGTGAGGCATTTGGGTCTAGGCTTTACGGGCTGTTAGTTTTAAAGCTGGCAGTCGAAAGCTCAATGCTGGGGCCGGGAGGAAATTGCGACAGCAGACTTTGCATCGTTCGCCTGGCTTTCCCAAGCCGGCAAGCCCAAGAAACGTCAAGCTCTAGATCCTAAACCTGCATTTCCTTCAACGACAGTGGTAAACCCAGCGTGGCCCGAAATTGTCATGCGAAGTGGCACTGCCCAAGAGGGGAACGCCACCCAGGAACTGGCGGCCTCATACGCGGCTTGGAAGTCAAAGCGCACATCCCAGCGTCTCCACATTCAATTGAGGAGAATGCGGGGGCGGAGGGGAGGGCTTTCTAACAAGAAGGTTCCCTCAAATCTGGCTGAAGTGAAGCAATCGACTCACGCAACATATTCGGGATTGATGGCTGCATTAAGCTTCCTAGACCCTTCAACACCTGTAAACCCTTGCATTCTTGGTCGCGTGCATTGGGGGATCGGCGTCGAGGTGGTGCTGCTTGACGTTTCGGTAGTTGAAGTGCTGGACGTCTGGCTGGAGGACTTGCCTGAGCGGATTTGGACGAGTCGTAGCGTTGAAGGAAATCACCGGATTGTGAGGTTTCTGGGTCCATTGCTCTGGGGAGCTAGTTGCATCATAACTGTTCCTGCGACCGCCTCAGAGCTAGCAAAGTCCCCAAAAAAACCTTGGGGAAACCCCTTGACTGCCTTGTATAAAACAGTATAAAAATCCTGAGACAGAAAGCCAAAATCTCTGTCTATATCTAACTAGTCATAGTTACACAATCTGTTCTGTATGTATGTATGTATGTATGTATGTATATATACAAGTATATATATATATATATACACACACATACATCATGACGATCTTGCACCCCATGTACTGCTCGAGCTCGTCGTGGTCAAGCTCGTAGCCGTGCTGGTCTGTGAGGCGGTCCTCGAAGAGGAGGAGATCGTACTCGTCGCAGTTCCAGATGTCAGGGTGCTAGAGGATGTAGTACCTTTGCTTGTCTTGGAACCCGAAACAAGTGTTTATTTGTCTTCCCTCTTAAGACTATTCTACAGGAAGTAAAAGCTGTTTTAGGAGACGTTCCAGATACGGCTAGTTCCGGTGGATGTGGATGTCGAGGTTGGCGGGCAACCTTTCTGCTCTCTCTCGCAGCACCATTCCTTCTTCAAGTTTGACCAACTCACCTCCCAATTGCTGTGGCCAATATCACAAAAAAAATACATCGTTGTCGTCTCGGTGGTGGTTGTTCCTGTGGTTGTCGTTGCTGTCGAAGACACTGACGTCTGCGTGCTGCTTGCAGAAGTGCTGGTGGTCGATATGCTGGACAGAGTGGAAGATGTGCTAGTGTCCGAAACCGTCGTCAGTGTGGAAGATGTACTTGTCAAGCTAGACGTTGACGAGAAAGTTCGACTGGTCGCAGTGCTAGTCGACGTTGTGGTTGAAGGGCATCCTTTCTGCTCCTTGTCACAACACCACTCCTTCTTTGCATCTGACCAACTCAACTCCCAATTGCTGTAGCCGACATCGCAGAAGAACCAAGCTGTCGATGTGACGGTGGTGGTTACCACGGTAACCGTGGATGTAGTACCTGTGACAGAGCTGAGCGTAATGCTTGTCGATGTAGAACCGGTGGAGGTGCTTGAAGTCGACTTGCTGCTGGTCGTCGTGCTAGACTGCGTGGTCGACGTGCTAAAGGTCGAAGTTGCCGTTGTCGTGGAAGTTGAGCTCACTGTCACACTTGTCAACGTGCTCGTGCGGCTGGTCCTGGTGCCGGTGGACGTTGTAGTTGAAGGGCAACCTTTCTGCTCTCTCTCGCAGCACCATTCCTTCTTCATGCTCGACCAGCTCAACTCCCAGTTGTCGTAGCCGATGTCGCAGAAGAAGTAAATTGTTGTTGTCTCAGTAGTAGTTGTAAGCGTAGCGGTTGTCTCTGTCACAGTGACGGATGTCTGCGTGCTGCTTGCTGATGTGCTAGTGGTCGATATGCTGGACAGAGTGGAAGAGGTGCTTGTTTGCGATGTCGTTGTACCGGTTAAGGACGTGCTTGTCAAGCTGCTTGTGATGGTCATGCTTGTTGATGATATCGTGCGACTGGTCGAAGTGCTAGTCGACGTTGTGGTTGAAGGGCAACCTTTTTGCTCCTTGTCACAACACCATTCCTTCTTTGCATCTGACCAGCTCAACTCCCAGTTGCTGTAGCCGACATCACAGAAGAACCACATTGTCGTTGTGATGGTGGTGGTTATCACGGTGACCGTGGATGTAGTATCTGTAACGGAGCTGCGCGTAACGCTTGTCGATGTGCTAGAGATCGAGTTGGTACTGGTCGTCGTGCTAGACTGCGTGGTCGACGTGCTAAAGGTCGAAGTTGCTGTTGTCGTGGAAGTTGAGCTCACTGTCACACTTGTCAACGTGCTCGTGCGGCTGGTCCTGGTGCCGGTGGACGTTGTAGTTGAAGGGCAACCTTTCTGCTCTCTCTCGCAGCACCACTCCTTCTTCATGCTCGACCAGCTCAACTCCCAGTTGTTGTACTCGACGTCACAGTCGAACCAAATCGTTGTTGTCTGAGTGGCCGTTGTGGCGGTCACAGTGACAGATGTCTGCGTATTGCTTGCTGACGTGCTAGTGGTCGATATGCTGGACGCGGTGGAAGAAGTGCTTGTTTGCGATGTCGCTGTACCGGTCAAGGACGTGCTTGTCAAGCTGCTTGTGATTGTTATGCTTGTTGATGAAATCGTGCGACTGGTCAAAGTGCCAGTAGAGGTTGTTGTTGAAGGGCATCCTTTCTGCTCCTTTTCACAACACCACTCCTTCTTTGCATCTGACCAACTCAACTCCCAATTGCTGTAGCCGACATCGCAGAAGAACCAAGCTGTCGATGTGATGGTGGTGGTTACCACGCTAACCGTGGATGTAGTATCTGTGACAGAGCTGAGCGTAATGCTTGTCGATGTAGAACCGGTGGAGGTGCTTGAAGTCGACTTGCTGCTGGTGGTCGTGCTAGACCGCGTGGTCGACGTGCTAAAGGTCGAAGTTGCTGTTGTCGTGGAAGTTAAGGTCATTGTCGCACTTGTCACAGAGCTCGTCCGGCTGGTACTGGTGCCGGTGGACGTTGTAGTTGAAGGGCAACCTTTCTGCTCCTTGTCACAGCACCACTCCTTCTTCATGCTTGACCAAGCCGTCTCCCAGTTGTTGTACTCGACGTCACAGTCGAACCAAATCGTTGATGTCTGAGTGGCCGTTGTGGCGGTCACAGTGACAGATGTTTGCGTGTTGCTTGCTGACGTGCTAGTGGTCGATATGCTGGACGCCGTAGAAGAGGTGCTTGTTTGCGAAGTCACTGTACCGGTCAAGGACGTGCTTGTCAAGCTGCTTGTGATTGTTGTGCTTGTTGGTGAAATCGTGCGACTGGTCAAAGTGCCAGTAGAGGTTGTTGTTGAAGGGCATCCTTTCTGCTCCTTTTCACAACACCACTCCTTCTTTGCATCTGACCAACTCAACTCCCAGTTGAAGTACCCGACATCACAGAAGAACCACATTGTCGTTGTGATGGTGGTGGTTACCACGGTAACCGTGGATGTAGTACCTGTGACAGAGCTGAGCGTAATGCTCGTCGATGTAGAACCGGTGGAGGTGCTTGAAGTCGACTTGCTGCTGGTGGTCGTGCTAGACCGCGTGGTCGACGTGCTAAAGGTCGAAGTTGCTGTAGTCGTGGAAGTTAAGGTCATTGTCGCACTTGTCACAGAGCTCGTCCGGCTGGTCCTGGTGCCGGTGGAAGTTGTAGTTGAAGGGCAACCTTTCTGTTCCTTGTCGCAACACCACTCCTTCTTCGCATCTGACCAGGCTGCCTGCCAATTGTTGTACCCGACGTCGCAGTCGAACCACATTGTGGTTGTCTTCGTGGTCGTCGTTATCGTGACTGACGTTGCTGTTGAAGTCGCTGAAGTTTGTGTGCTGCTTACAGAAGTGCTGGTGGTCGAAATACTGGACAGGGTGGAAGATGTTCTGGTGTCTGAAGTTGATGTTCTTGTCAAGCTGGACGTGCCGGTTGTTGTTGTTGACGAAGCCGTTCGAGTGGTCGCAGTGGTCGTGACTGTCCATGTCGATGGGCAACCAATCTGCTGCTTGGAACAACACCATGCTTTTTTCGTGTCTGACCAGCTCAGTTCCCTGTTGCTGTAGCCAGCAGCACAGTCGAACCACATTGTCGATGTGATGGTGGTGGTTACCACGGTAACCGTGGATGTAGTACCTGTGACAGAGCTGCGTGTAACGCTTGTCGACGTGCTTGAGGTCGACTTGCTGCTGGTCGTCGTGCTAGACTGCGTGGTCGACGTGCTCAAGGTCGAAGTTGCCGTTGTCGTGGAAGTTGAGCTCACTGTCACACTTGTCAACGTGCTCGTGCGGCTGGTCCTGGTGCCGGTGGACGTTGTCGTTGAAGGGCAACCTTTCTGCTCCTTGTCACAGCACCACTCCTTCTTCGCATCTGACCAGCTCAACTCCCAGTTGCTGTAGCCGACGTCACAGAAGAACCACATTGTTGTTGTCTCTGTCGTCGTTGTAGCCGTAGCTGTTGTTGCGGTTGCAGTGGCAGAAGTCTGTGTGTTACTTGCAGAAGTGCTAGTGGTTGACATGCTAGACACAGTGGAGGATGTGCTGGTCTGTGAGGCTGATGTGGTTGTCAAGCTGGATGTGCTGGTTTTGCTTGTGGATGAAGCCGTTCGACTCGTGGCCGTGCTAGTAGAGCTTGAGGTGGATGGGCACCCTACTTGCTGGTTGGAGCAGCACCACTCTTTCTTCGCATCTGACCAGCTCAACTCCCTGTTGCTGTAGCCAGCGGAGCAGTCGAACGGAAGTACAGTTGAAGAAGTTGTTGACAAAGTTGACGTTGTTGTGGTGCCTTGCTGCGAATGAATCTTAGACTTCTGCATCCAACAGCATAGGCGAAACTAGCAATTATCTGAAGATTTCCCATATTCGGCGTCTCGGGGCAAGAACTGAAGGAAAAACGGCCCTGACTGAACCCAGGATTTCTGAAATCAAGTACTGCATTGGCTTCGGCTCTCGTCTCGAGTCTCAAGCAGCAAAGAGGCACTGGAAGGGTGACATTTCGCGCACCAGCATGCCACCCGCCGGCAAGCAGGCCTGCTGCAAGGTAACCTGGCCCGAGTCTTCTAATGTCTGCCGGTGGAAGATTTACGGATTTGGCTGAGGGTTAGGTTTGTGACTTGTGACCCTGTGCTCCAACCGTTCAGCAACAGCAACCACAATGACAGCAGCATCATTCGCCGTGTCTTCGTCAACATGAACAACATCAACATCAACATTATCCTCATCTTCGTGTTCATAGCCATCGCCATCATCATCATCATCACCATCATCATCGTTGCGAGCATCAACACCGTCACCACCTTCAAAGGCAACGCCATGAACAGCAACATGCTGGTTTTGATCCTGATGCTGGTTGTCACCATATCCGTTTGCGCAAAACTCTTCATCCCCATACCCATCGTTGTTTCTGTAATCGCCATCCTCAACATCATCTATGCTAGTATTGCCTTCGTTGTGGTAGCCGCTGCCCCTTTGGCGCTTGCACTGCCACGGCTGCTGCTGATGTTGTTATGGCGAGTTTTGTGATGCACCTCTTTAGATGTCTCGCGACTGTCAACATTACGCCACAAATCGCTCCCGAGAAGTAGAGTGCACTCACGAACCCGCTCAATGCAAACGACGTGGTGGTGGCGGCAGCCAGGCTTTCTGTCTGGTGCGGTTCATCTTACTGGTATCCAGGTTCTGATATACGTTGGACTTGCCTATCGCGTGAAGTTGTGGAAACATGCCAGCCCAACATAGCTGCAGCCATCGTCGAAGCCGTGGGCAAGAAATGCCAGGAGAGCGGCGATCAATCCTGTCTGCACTGCTTTCTACTACAGGCTAGGGAATAGGCTCAGCCCGATATGGATAAAAGCATGTCCTGACATCCCACACCCCACCGGGCTGAGCCTGCGACTCCAGGGTGACTACAACATGCTGTGTGTGAGTACGCAAAGCCGGAGCGCAAAGGGAGCAGCGCACCCTCTGCGCGTAGAGAATTTTATCTTCGAGGCATTTCTCTTCGTCCCTACCCTCATCGTGAGTCTTATCCTTACCATCCTCCTGACCTTCCTGCTGCCGCTCCTCCAACTCCTCCCGCCCCTCCTACCACTCCCCCAGCGAAGTATCACGTCGTCATCGCCGTCAACATTATCATCAGCGGCATCATCATGAGAATGGCCATGATCACCATCACCATCGCCACTGGCGTCATCATCATCATCATCATCATCATCGTGTTCATGATGTTGATCATCATCATGGTCATTATCACCATCATCGTCATTCTGATCATCACCATCATTGTGGTCACGGTGATCATCATCATCAGCAGCAGCATCAGCCCACCCTTCTCCAAACCCAGTCAACACCTTTTGCTGCATCTACGGATTCCGGACTTGCGGATCGAACTGCCCACCGAAGCCTCAGCCTTCCCAGCTACCAATATCCGAAGTTTCAGCAGTGTTGGCAGGGGCACCTGTGGTCATCCAGACCATGAGCCACTTCTCAGCATCTCGAATACATTCTGTGCTAAGAAACCTAGACACCCATCTGCCTCTCAAGCAGGTGAATGCTTTTTGGTCATGGTTACTTAGGGACAGTAGCCTTAAATGGTAGCTGGGGTTTGCAGGGAAGTGCGACAGGATCTTGCTTCACGGGCATGCACTGTGACCTACTGCCCACAGAAACAATCTGGACTGGATCAGGGTTCTGGAGTATCGCCGAACTACGCCCGCTTGTACCTGCAGCAGCGGCATGCATGCTTGGCAACGGACTTTCGACATCACTGCTGATTTCGAGCAACATACTCCCTGGACAGTGCACCTGCCTCTGCACTGCAAGTCCATGAGCACACTCGTTTAGGGTTGTCAGGGCTTAGTTCGGGTTGAAATTTTTGGGGTTGAGAGTCCGGGGAGTAATTCTTTGATTTAGGGGTTTGGGTTTAGGGGTTTAGAAACTGATTGAACCTGTACCATGCGCAGCTGCTGCAAAAGGACTGCCGGAGCTTTCTTAGCCGAAGGCCCTGGCTCCGTGTGAGAAGAGTGCGGCCAGGAGCTCACAGATTCACCCGTGGGTCGAGACCAAGGGACCACACCCTACCCACCCACGAAACTCACAAACTACAACTTACGACTCCTCAATCCCAAAGCCTTCAATCCTTATAACCCTGAACCCTACATCAATTCCCAATCCAAGACAAAGGTTTGTTGAGAATAACAGCACAACACCCTTGAAGCACCATTAAGCCCCACACACACACACAGGAATTTTCCAACTCTCAACAACCCCATAAATACATACTGTTACAGAGTTGAGCCTTGAGGGCGTAGGGGCTTATGGGTTGGATTGGGTGTACCTGTGGCTCAAGAAGCTTGCGCGTCTTGGATTGCTGATCATGCTTTACCTATATGTACAAGTATGTATACACATATATATATATATATATATATATATATATATACAGCCCGAACAAGGGAAGGCTTTTCGGGGCTATGGGCAAGGTTTGTCGGATTTTGAAGCATTTTTGGCCCATTGGTGGGATGAAGGTAGGTGGGATGATCCTCAATTGAGAGCCCATTTGTAAGGGACGAACTTGAGGGTTCAGATCCAACCGAAGTCGGCTCGGATCCTTCGGGAAGGAAGCAGTTTGCACCCCCTTCCCTCCCCCACCGCAAAACGACTCTGAGTGCCTGCAGAAGACTCCCTGCCGTCGACAAGAGTTGTTCGGGTTAGAGTTTGGAGTGCAGGGGTTCAAGGTTTTTGACTTTTGCAGGCAGATGTCGGTTTGCGAATTTTAGGCGTGTAGCTTTCTTTGCAAAGCGCTTGTGTAAGGCTTGGGGTCTACGGCATTTTCGTTTCAGGATTGGGATTTAGTTTAGGATGTCTGAGGTTGTTTCGGGTTTAAGGAAATTGCTGAGGGATTACGAGTTGGCATGGGGATTATTCGCAGGTGCAAGGATAGCCGTCAGATGTTCGATTTCCAGATTGAGTACCGAAACGGCTGCTTGTCGACAAGGCCGTCAGAATCAGATGTCGCAGCAAATTCCCCAGGTACTTGGGCTTTAAGCCCGAATCAGCTGCGACACTATCCTCCGAAACGTGGCTGCATGGCCAAGAACGTGGAGATAGGAAACCACTCTAATTCCACCAGTGAGAGTCCCGACACCACACGACCCCAAATTAAGCGGTTTAGGGGGGTGTCGGGGGCCCTCACCGGTGCCCGTCTCTCGCGGCACTTTGGAGGCATCCCGGGCCAAGCCGGGAAGCACCAGCTCCAAGTGGGCATCGAATTCGGATATGGCATAGCGGCATAGCGGTGCCGGATTTTTAGGGGCTACGGAGATTAGGATTTCATGGGCTCATGGGCTTTAAAGGTTTAAGGTTTAGTTTTGTGTTCTCGTCAAGGGGATCAGCTAGGATTAGATAGTTGCGAACTTAAAACCTCGACAAAGTTGAGTTGGAGGCCTCAACGGACCCCGATCCCGCGAGTACGGATGTCTGCAGCAGAAGGCCAGTTGGGTGACGATGTGCCTGTCGATGAAAGGTTTGAAACACAGGGTTTCGGCATTTCAGGGTTACCTGGATCGGAATGTATTGAGTTGCGACATTAGGGTTTAGAAGTAGGTCTTCCCTCAGGATAGTACGTATTGGTGATTTCAGGCTTAGGATGTAACTACCTGGAAGCAGAGTGAGTCACCATGCTCATGTACACGCCTGTTCGAAGATCGTTCGAAGTCCTTGGCAATGAGTGCTACTCGTCGGCGCTTCTGGTGGGTTATGGTTCTCATGGCACGTATCAGCGAACGCCCTGAAGGTGTGCAGCTTTCAATCTTGGGTACATGGATTCTGTTGATACTGCTCAGCAACTGTTTCCCGACTTGCGAAGGCTGGCTTTTGCAGATATGGCTCTAGCATGATTCGGCGGAATTTTGAAGGCCGTCTTTGAAGGCAGACTCCCATACTATCGACTATGGGAATGCAAGATGAAAGGCTGAGTATTCCTTCCAAGATCCGATTAGAATGCTAGACGCTGCTGGACTTGCCAGAATTTAGGGGGCCCTCGGCCCGCTATGCGTTGCCTCGGAGGCATCAGGTCACTCTGCGGCAGCTCGGTTCCATAGCGAACCTGGACTTGAAGCTCGCAAGCCGCCAGGCGAAGTTCTCGTCGCTCGGGGCCGATATACTGGGCACCAGGGACCAAAACCAACCGCGGTGCGCCTCTGATGTTGTGATAGCTACTCCGGTGATGTTCTGCATTTCTGCAGACTCCGCTTTCTGGTTACCGTAGAGAGGCACCCAGAAGGAAGAGGCCGCCTTTAAACATGTTGCCCACCGCTCTTGCCGGTCAAGGTGCAGATGCCAGCGTTGCACGACAGCCCCTTGAGCATTCCTCTTCAAGGCCCGAATCTCATCCCACTGCACATCAAAGTCCAGGTCCGGATGTAAAGTATAGCGCAGCATGCAGGGCTCCCCGGCAAAAAGGTGGCTCAGATCGATGAAGATCACAAACGTGCTGTTGAAGAGCCGTGCGATCTCTCTGTAGACTTCCTTCATGGGCATCCGGGCCGCCGGACTTTCGAGAATCTGCGCATGGAGCGACTCGGAAAGTCCGACGTCCGGAAGGTTCGAGGCCGTGGGATCCAGGTGGGGCGCGATCCGGCGCAGGGTGATATGCCTCAGAGACATCGGGGCGAGGCCACATAAACCCACCCGCTGCATCTGCAAGCGTTGCAAAATCGAATGCACGAGTTACGGGTACTGTTGCCACTATCGCCCGTGCCGCGACGAAGAGGACAGCCGCAATTGGCAAATCTCTGCATCCCGAACATGAGACGAAAAGCTTAAGCACCAAAAGCCCTCGAGGTGCAGATGACCGTGAAGCCCTGAACCTCAAATGATACAGCGCAATGTCCCCAAAGGGAAGCCCTAAAACCTGAACCTCCAAGCCGGCATTGCACGTTTCAGGGTACAGCTCTTTTGAGCGCCAACCCCGAATGGCCAAACTCTTTGAATGCCAAGAGGCTCGTTCAGCTGCATCATCTTTCCGGCATCTTGTTCATTACCTTCCCGACTCTCTGATATCTCCTCCAAAGCCTGGACTTGGGGCTTGGCTTAAGGGATTTCAGGCTTTCCGAGGATGCTTTAGCCTGGTTTTCCCTTGCTTTGATGCGTTCTATCTGGGCCAGAGGCTGAGAATTGAATAAGACCCAAGGGTGTAAGGTGAAGCTGTGGGGTATTTCGTTAGGGGCTCAAATTTGGGCCTCTTGCACAGAATCCCCGAAGTTCAAACCTCCAAGTGGCAAAATCTAGCGCCTGCAACCTCACGGTAACCCCTAACTTCCCTAAAACTCCTATGCAAGCTATTTACAAAATCCCAGAACTCACCATGCCCGACCCCCCGGCACCGAGTTCAGTTCCTGACTCCTCCACTATAATTACCACAAACCTTGGTCCAGAAAGGTCCAAAACAACGGCACCTCGGCATGGCTCGCCAACACTTGCATCAGGTCTTGACCGTTGTATCTGGAATGATCGAAGATCACCTGCTGTCATTTGTTTTAACTCTACTTATATAACAGTCTCATGGCTTCGGGCGAAGGTCAAAATGAAGCTTTTGACGGTTGCAAAGGTGGTCTGGGAGAGATCTGAGGCAGAAAGGGTTGGAATATCTGGCGATTGAGTTGGGATCCTCTGCTCCGAGACTTTGCTTGCCTTCGTGAAACGTTCTCGTCATCACTCTCTGCACGATTAGAAGCATCTTCAACAAAATTAGAACCGTTAGAGCCATCCCCTACATGAAGATCTGCCTCAGAATCCTCAAAATAACTGCCATCGGCAGCCACATAACCATAATTTCAGCGCATAGGTCGTCACTGTCATCATCGCAGATGAAAGCGTCGGACTCCTGACACAATCGCAAACCTCACCATCCTCAGCACGGCCATGGTCATAGCCGTGCTCAAAGAGTTTGGTTGAATCTCCCTGGTCGACTTTTTGCCGTTCTCCGGCCTGGATAAGCACGTGGGTCTCTGCCGGCCCGGTGTGGAGGATGTGCACTGACTCCTGCATGGAGCATGCACCATGTCAGGTTTGGGAATCGTCCGACGTGTTAAACTCTATTTCCTGAGTCCCGGTGAAAACAGCTCCCTTCCATATACACCTGTAAAGTGCAGCGACTCTAACACCAGTTCATACTCTTATCTCTGCAAGCCCTCTCTGATGCGCCCAGAACAGTTGGACCTCGGCAGTGCTTGCGCGAAGGGCTTGCTGGATAGCTCGCCCCAAGGTCACCATGGCATCCTGTTGCTGAAGTGTGACAAATCAGGGGTCCATTTGGCGGGTCCTAGCAAAGGATCCCACTCTTGAAAAGTGTCCTGGGTAGTCAATGATGATATATATATATATATATATATATATATATACAGACTCTGCAGTGCGTGTTGCGATTCATTGCTACTGTCACTCGGTTGCGCTATAGGTTCGAAAATCGTCTGCAGGAGTGCCGAAAAGTACAGACGCTGGCTCCACATTCATTAGCAACGTAGCTTCTCCGAGGGCCTTCATGTCGGGGAAAGGCTCAGGGTTTAGGAGTTGAGGCTTTCGGGTGCTAGACGTAAACACAACCACCAAGATTTTGTGCAGAGTTGCTTTTTGCGGCTACTCCATTATACGCAGGATCTGGCAAGCCTCACATTGTCCAACATCTGCAACCCCAAACCCCGATTCTCTAAGCAGACAAGTGGCCATCTTGCGTCCAGGGATGGGCATTGCAGCCGGGGCTACCTTCCGTTTGCAGGTTGCGGGTTTCAGGACCCAAGGTTTGCGCACGGAGAGATAACGCTTGTGACTGCTTGTGTGTGCCTCAACCGAGTTTCCTGCGGGGTCCTTGCAAGCTCTCTAAGAAAGATGAAAATTAGGATGATGTTTTACTGGTTCCGATTTGTAGTTAGGGTTACCTGTGTAGGCTCTACGGGTTCTAGGGTTTAGCGGGGATTCGAGACACAGGATTGCGATTCTACTGCTTCACGCAGTTGACTGCGGTTTGGGGTATGCAAAATCTACCGCTACACGGCCGCACAGGAAGAGTGTACTGATTGTTGATGATGCTAACCATGCGACGCCGTGCCCTGAGTGTCGTGTTTCCCGACAATACGGTGTTCACATCCCATGACAGCTGCTTCTAAGCAAAGACCGAAACCGCAAACCTTAACCAAATCGAGGCCTCACACCGATGCCAGAACTTTGAATTCCTAAGCCCAGCCAAGCACCTTTGTGCCATCCCCTCCTTGTGTATCAGCAGTCAAGGGCTCATCGATGAAGCTTAGAAATTATCATCAAGGCAAGAATATCGCTGTGACACCATCGGTCATGCGAGAAAACCTGACACATTTCTGGACGACGCATTTTCGGGTAGAGGTGAATTGCAAAGTTTGGGTCGAGCATGGTCGAGCATCTCAAGTTGAAGAATCATGGGACGTTTAACCGCTCTGCTTAGGGGGGTTATCGGTTAAAACACCCTGGTCGGTATTCTGCTCAGACAGAACTGCTTGATCTTACTAACTCCCCTGAGCCACTTCGAAATGCCAAAGTTGTGGCTTTAAGCTATGACTTACAAACTGTAAACCCTTACCTCTACACCCGCACCCTTAAGACCTCCCGAAGCAGTCGCAAGTCTGGATGCTGCCAGAAAGCCCGTCCCAGCAACGTTCCCCACGGGATCTCCGCAAACCTTCAGGACCACCCTACATCATGAAAACGCCATGCAGCTGCATCTCGAATCGGGCTCAGGCGTCACCGTCAAAATCCTAAAGCCCAAGCAGACCCTAAGCACCCACGCTAGTTGTTCTGCTCTTATGGCCAGGTCAGTCCACATCGGCTCGTGAAAACGTGTATGTATGCGTCCGAACTTCTTGCGATTCGCCCCAATATGTATGTATGTATGTACATGGTTGTGTGTGTAGGAGTAAGTGTATGTGTGCATGTATACATACCACATGTATCTGTATATGTATATGAAAATGCATACATGTACATGTAAATATACACGTATGTGTCACGCGTGTATGTGAAAACATATATATATATATATATAGCATGATAGCGATCCCTGAACCCTGAAACCTATACCCCGCCCCTAAACACAATTGAACACAACAAAACCCAACAGCTCCCGCACACTACAAAGACACTGCAATCCCCTGGTTGATAGACCCTACGCCCTCCATAAGGTTTAAAATAGTGATTCTAGCCCTGCCGACATGCTTATTGTGAGTCCTTCAATACACTTCCACAGCGTAGAAGCCTTGTCAGACCCTAAGCACGCCCATAAAGGGTCCAGATATCAGACTAAAGTGACATTGGGGACTCTGAGGCCGCAAAATATGGGACAGAGGAGCTCGTGCTGATCTGATGCTCTCGGACTGGCTCCTCCATCCTCCCGGCTCAAGGCTCACGGTGTCGTTGCCTCCCTTTTTTGGATTGTTTGTGTTTTTGCTTCGTTTGTTGCCATCGGGGTTTGAGGGTGTTTTCATTGAAGGGGGGGATGGTCCTTTTGTTTGAAGTCTGCAGGGTTTGGGATCGCTCGAGTCGGAGTCAGTCGCACTGCTGGACTTATTTTGAAGGTCCGGGCGCAGGGACAGAGCACCGCGCTGTAAGGTGAACTCGGAACCATCTGTAGGCTTCTGCTATCTAGCTAGCTCCTGTCGCCTCACTGATTGTGCGGCGTTGGAACCTTGAACGTGGGCCCTTGCCTCAAACTGTCCAGCCAGATACCAAAAGATACAGATACATTTTTGTATACACATATCCTTTTACATATATATATATATATATATATATAGCCATGTTCCCCGCAAGAACCCTTGATTCTGGGATTCCTGGTGTGTTTTCGCCGCAGATCCTAGAGGGTCGGTGTTTTGATGGTTCTGGAGGGTTCGGCATTGTGGAGATCTTCAGACATCCGAAGGCCCCGACATAGACTCAACATATCAGGAAAACGAAAAGAACAAGATGTCCAAGAACTCCCGAAGCCCGTAACCTCAAAGGTCGAGGAACCTGAGAACACACAGAACGCCAGCCTAGTCACCAAAACATCTATTTGCTGGAATCCGAACCCGGGAAGCCCCAAAGCGAATGCCCGAAATGGACAGGGCCAAAGCCTCGAATGCCGTGCAACCTAAAGCATCAAGATCCACCTGCAAGGGGTCGTCTGCTTCCATACCTTCTCTGAGCCCGAACGGCTACCTGAATGGAGCCTCAATGGCTGCGGCGATAATACATAAACATAAATAAATAAATATATATATATATATATGTGAGGTTCCAGCTGATATATTCATGTGTAGAACTGTGGGGAGCAGAGGCTTAGGGTTTTAGCGTTTATTGTTTCGGGGTGTGGGGCTGAAAGGTCTGGAGTTCGGGGTTTAGGGCAGGGTCTCAGTGTATATTCTTTAATCTCCCGCTTCGCTTGGATTCAAGATGCACAATTTAGGGTCCTGGATATGTTAAGGTGATTTAGATTGGGACTGTACCGTAGTTTTGGGATCGGGGGACGGCGGCTCGGACGACCACGAATGAGGGTCCATGCCGTCAACTATCACATACCTCTCGGATTCGGAAGCATATTCTCTTACTTAGTATGACAACCTATTTAGTATGTAAAAGACACTAACTACCATGCAAGCAACCCCTATGTGCAACAACGCTGCTAGTGGTGACCTTCAGGCCACTGATTCCAATACCCGAAAGCACTGAACCACAACCCCCAAATCGAAGCCTCTACGACTCCACACCCTAATCTTGAACCCTGCGCTCAGGTCTAGAGCCTGTGCAAAACCAAAATCGCCAATATTAAACACAGGGCCTCGTAAGGCCAAACGAGCATTCTCCCATGAATGCACACAAACAACAGCCACAACACAAACATACTTCATAAGACGACGACGGCAGCGCGACACACAGCGGCACATGGCATATGTGTGTATGTATAGGTACATGTATTTGTATATGCATACTTTTATATGTATATTATGTATACGTATATGTAGATGGACATGTGTATATACATATATGTTAATTATATATATATATATATATATATATATATGTGTATCTGTGTCTCTGTGTCCTATGATCTACGCAGGTAGGGTACGTCGGTATGTAGGTATGTGCGTATTTATGTGTGCATGTGCGCGTGTATGTGTGTGTGTGTGCGCGTGTTTCTGTGTCTGTGTAAATACGTTTGTATATATATATATATATATATATACGCACATACATACATACAGAGGTACGTGCGTATGTGTATGTTGCGTGTGTATGTAAATACGTGCGTACAGGCAGCAGGTAGGTATGTGTGACGGGGGCCACTATCATAAGGAGAGCGGCAATGACGTCAGGAGTTGATTGCTGATGTTGACAGTGCGGTGATGATGATGGTTAAAATCTGCCACGCAAGTGTGGTGGTCACAATCGCGAGCTCAATCATTAACTTCTGTTATGCTAGTCCGCGCACTGAACTCTTGATATTCTGAAGCCACGAACTTTACTCGGCAGGGGCAAGGTTTGAAGGACCCAGCAGCACTTTTGCACGAAGACGAATGAGGGTGCTTCTGAATTAGGGTCCCCATTGCGCTCCTTGTGCGTACGACACTAGCCACCGAATGTAGTATCAGTCAGAATTGTGAACATTGCTGGGTGCGGGGGGTTTCATGCCTTGAGGTGTGTGCATATATGAATATAGATACAAGTAAATAAGTTGCGTATATATATATATATAGAGAGAGAGATTTACAAGTGAGCTCTAAAGAAAACAAAAACGAGATGACTATTTCTTCAAGCCACTTTCTTGGGCTTCGGGTTCGGCGCAAATATGGACCCTAGCTCAGAACAACCCCCAGGTCAGGAAACCGATCTTTGGGTACGTTTTGGGTACTTTGACGACACACTTGAAAACACTGTCAACTCGGAAGTCAGCAGCATTCCAGGCTAATTCCGAGCAGGGCGGACAGCCTCAGTACAACCGCGACTTCTGCGAACCTGCAGCCCGCAGCGTTCCTTTTAACCTTGTTGTACACCCTGCCTACGCAAAGCAAAAAACTAGAAACACTGAACAACTGCAATTGGCGGTTCAGGCTTTCAAGTCTAGGGCACAAACCTTCCTATCTCGATATTTTTTTCTGTGTTTCGGGCTGTTTACCTGTGTGTCATCCTATCTATCTGTCTAATTACCCCTTCCTGTCTGTGTATCTCTGCATCTGTCTCTGTCTGCACCTTCGACCCTGACCTAGACACACGCACTACAGTAGCTGCAGCTTTGGCTCTCACACTAACAATGCTTCGGTTTCTAGCCCTCGCACTGTCTACACATCTATCTAGCCATCTATCTACCCATCCGTGTATCTATCCATCCCTCCTTCCATCTACCTAACCATTTAACTACCTATCGATCTACCTGTACCCATCTTTCGAACTGTCTAACTACAAGTCGTTGAATTTGTCTACATGTTCATCAATAGAGGTATTCACGTACCTACATATTCAAGAAAGCGTACACATCAAACATATGTGTATAGACATATTAGATATACATACACACATACATACATACATAATTACATGTATCTATGTGTATTTATATATAGAGAGTTCTGTATACTTGTACGATTATGAATGTGTTGGTTCTCACACACACACACACACGCACACCTCTGTCTGTGCATGTGTGTGTGTGAGATCCTTTTGCGTGTGTGTGTGTGTGTGTGTGTCTGTGGTCTGTTTGTGTGCACGCGGGTAAATGATCAGTCCACATATGCGAAAGTTGAACCCGATGTTAAATCTTTCGGCTCTCTCAAGGCTTTACAGTCTGCCGCCGCCGCTTTGAGGATGCAAGACAAGAAAAGCTGTGCCCAGGCTTTGTTTATGGCAATGGCAATGACCATCAAAAAGATTCTCGGACACGAACGGAAAGCTGCATACGCAGCAGCAAAGGGCCCTAGTACACAGAATGGGGCTTTGGTGTAAAGAGCATGCAAGTAAGATTGCTAACTTTCAGCCTCTCCAAATTTGCTCAGAACTTCAATAAACCAGTTGGCAGCCCTCACCCTGAATCCTTGCATCAAAAACATCGGAAAATACAATTGAAGCCAACCCCAAAGCCCAAAGATTTGCGGACGTCCGCGGATCAGGACGCGGGCGTTATTGCTGACCACCTGACGGAAACACGGCCCAGTCCTGCAGAATATGTGCACTGCTTCCAAAAGGACTAACTCCAAAGCCCATGCCCTCAATCCTCACAGTATAGCCCTCAATTCAAAAACACTGTAAGAAAGACTCCCTCGAACGAAGGAGCCCACAATAAAACCAGCAGAACTGCCTTGAACGGAAACCTCCCCAAACACTATAAGCAGCCCCTGAACCCTAGAGTCGAAAAACCCTGACTTTGCGACCCCACTACCCTGAACACCTGAACCTTCCACATCTAAAAACGTCCTGTAAGGGGTCTCTGGGTGTATGGCTTTACTTAGCAAGTTGAAATAGCGACTTTGCAGAACCGTAAACCACAATTCCTCGAAGAAACACCCTTTCGGAAACCCACGAGCTTCAAACCATCCTAGGCACTCCCAAAGCTTGCCAGCCCAAGGATAAACGAACACCCGACAAGGAGCCACATGGCCTAGAACTCGTGATAATGCAGAAGACTAGCTGCAATGACTTAAGACCCCAAAAGTTTTACAACTTTTGGTTGAACATCTGCTTGCTTCCTAAGACACAGGCTCTGAAACCTAAGCCCCTTACGGGTCCAACATCCAAAGTAAAAGACATATTGTCCAAAACGTGCTAGACCTCTCTGAGTACAGTATGCGGGATTAAAGCCCCAACATGTGGGTATGTGGGCCGCAGAGCCCCTATGGAGACCTCATACACCCCAACCCCTGTCCTGAGTGTCTGCATCGCGGCGGGGCTCAGGAAAGGCCGCGGCCCAGGGTTCCTGGGAGTCCTCCGGCGGTCCTGCACAGTCCGGGCTTGCTTTTTCCGTTCGGTCGTATGCTTTTAGATCTCGTTTGTGCTTCGTGTGCAAATCATGAGGTTTGTGTATGTGCGGCTTTCAAGGTCGATGGGTTCAAGGCCTCTTCTTGTTGAAGGATTGGGTCGGATATGATTTGCCGTCATATCATTTGGATGCGCAAGAAGCGCAGTAAGAAAGGCTGTGAAATTGGTGGGATCGAAGATCTTTCTATCTGGTCGTCTTGCTGTTGCCTCAGTTGTGTTATAATAAGACTCATGAAAAACTCTGGGTGGCGGGGAGACTCAAGCACTAGTCCTGAGTCTCTGTAACTCTGTAGAATTACAACCGAACAGATGCTATAAAACCCGTAGAGCTGCAAAGAAGACCCTCCTGTAATGTTTCTTTTGCAAGCTGCATTTGTGAAAAAAACTGTGTTATTGGCACAGGGAGATCATGAAATTTCGCAGGAGATGGGTACTCCAGCCCCAAACAAAGAAGACACACGGCCAGCGACATGACAAGGTGGCTCGCATGGGAGCATCCTGAACCACCTTTGATAGAGATTCCGACTGCTTGCCGGACAGCAGAAGTCGGCCAGCACCGTCATCCTCCTTCCAACAGCCCTGACAACGATGCCAATGCTCAAAATGTCCCCTTCCTCCGTTGAAAACTTGCATGCATGCTTGTGAAATGCATTGCACAAGGAACCCTTCAACCGCTTGTCCGGCGGACCCTCCTCCTCGTGCCCACGACACCTCAAAACAGGCGCCTTGGATTCGGCTCGCTCGCGAAATCTTTCTCTTTGCCCTTTCCGTTCCCAGCATCGTTGTTGCCTTTCGGCCTGCACCTCAGAAAACGATGCTGGCCATTGCCTTCGCCACCGTCATCAGGCTGCGACCAGTTTGTGCAACAGCTCCAACACATCACCAATCACCTGCCGACCAGCTTGTTCAGCCGACGACTGTTGGAAGCCAATAGGCTTCTGAAGGCGGCTCTATATAAAACAACATATACTGCACATTGCATTGCGCCCAGCAAGAACATAGGCATTGCCTCGTAAGCAATCTTTCCACACGACATGGCGAAGCGCCAACGTCCTCCACCACTTCCGGAAGGCCGAAATCTCCAATTTGGTTTGGATGACTTTTTTCTTTTCTCGCATGCACAATGCACTGGATGGTGTCCTCAGTGAGGATTTCTGCCAGGTGACCCACCCCCGCTGTTTGTGTACACGGCGTCCGCAACGGCTTCAAGAGTGAGAGTTGTAGCCCTTGTAAAGTCATGCCGGAGATAAGCACACCGAAGTAATCCAGCTTAAATTTCTCAACCAAAGGCTGCCGATCACAAGCCGACGTACCTGACGAAAATTGAACAAGTGTAAAGCCGGCTGGTGGCACGAGACACCCACGGCCGCAGGACAGGACGAAGGAAGCTTGCAGTCCTTGATTTCACACCACACCGCTCGCAACACAGCTACAACACATTTAATGTGCCAGTCATCCGAATCAACCGCGGTCCATGTGGCTACGACTGGAGCTGGTTTGGAGTGACCGTAACGCTTTTTCAATATTTCCCAAATTCCGGAATGCATGAAAGGGACCAGCTGACTGGAAACACACTGCTGCGCCACCGTTTTTGCCTGCTCCTCAGCACCCGTGTTGCACAACATCCGCAACCAAGTAGACGTGACACTGCGAGCAGAATAAAAGCTTGCCTTCAACTATCAAGCAGCTAGCAAGGAGGATTCAAGACAATCAAACCAAGTCACGATGCATGCAATCATGCAGCAATACAAGACTCCGACACAATCACTTCAACCCGCAACCGAACAATGAGACTTTGGCAGCACCCGCTGCCTTGCACCCTTTCTCCACTTTCAAGCCGAATTTCGGCGCTGGCAGCACCTGCAGCCGCCCTCGGCAGAGTCGCCGCGTTTGCGAGGCTGAACTGCCTCGCCTACATGGCAGCACGCACTGCCATACACGACGGATGGATCGGCCACAGCGGCCGCAGCCGCATGACCGGTCGCCCAAAACAGGGCGAACGCGCAGCGTGCAGGGCGTTTGAAAGGCAGCAAGACGACAAAAGCAGCAAGCGGTTCGCAACCACACAAATACGAGCAGCAGAAACTATTGACCACAAGCTTCATCAATGTCGGAAACGCACCGCAACGAGTGTTACGCCCATGCGTAACTGCTCCATGTGTGCAGCAACTGTCATTTTAGAGCAAGCGAACCAAAAAGGTGCTACCACGTACAAAAGGTCGGACTAACCCATCGCAAAAAGCCCCTATCGTGCTTATAATCTAATTATCAAGGCCCCTGACCTACAACCAGCAGCGAATTAAAGTGTAATGGCACGATGGGGGCTTCAGCATCTGAGGGTAAAGGAAGTGCTTGCTACAATAAGGCGAAACTGTTAACTCTGAACCAACCCACGCCTGCCGCTTGCGAAGCTGCGTGTGCTGCAGCCAGCTCCTGGCTTTCGGGTTCGAGGCAGTTCGAGGGCTCCAGCGTTGGGGTTAAGGATCGATGACTTTCTCGGGCTTCGCGCATTGGGTGAGTGGAGGCTTCAGTGTGCTTTGCAAGGTTCAACAGAGTGAAGGGTGTATATGGGGCTTGAGGCAGAAGGTTCTTTGATGGAGCGAGGAAACTGGACTCAGAAGCAGTTCCAGAAAATGTGTGGCCTTAAAAAAACTGAGGTAGTCTCAATCTTCCAGCATCCCCAAGACTGTAAAGAGTCTGAGGCGTTCCATGTGGTCTCGCTCAATGCTTTGCGCCCCATACCAGCCAAAACCCACAGCCAAAGTCCAGCGCTTCGCGTGCGGAAAACAACAGCCACAAGCCTGTGTAGCGCCCAAAAGGGTTTATAAGACTTTCGGGGTACATGGTAGGCCACCTTCTCCCCGAAAAGGTCTGAGCTCATGGGAGGCTTGAGCTGTCCTCCGGAGATGGAAGAACTGCCTCTTGGCCCAAGCCTGGCAGGTTCAGATTTTCCAAGGGTCGGGAGTTTAGGGTCTTGCGGTTTAGGCTGGCTGAGGCTCAGGGGTTACTCCAACATGTACACATCGTATATGCATCCCGTGCAAGCTCTCCATCAAGCCGCTGGCGACACTGAAGCTTTGATAAATGGACTGAACCGCAAAACCCTGAGAGCCCGCTTCAGTCAAAAAGCTAACCCCCTCCCCCTCCCCCGAGACGAGGCCTTAAAACAATTCTTCTGGAACACAAGGGCCTTAGGCCTTACACTTTTGCAGCCCTTCTAAAAGCCCCCTCATAGATTTCGAAAGCCTTCGAGCATTGGGCTCTCAGGCTCTGCAGCCGGCTCCGAAGCTTTCGTGTCCGCTTGGGCCTCGAGCTCCTGGGTTTTTTCTCTTCCTGTGTTACGGTAGTTATGAATCTTTACTGTGATGGTTATATTGATAATGCTGTTCTTTCCCAAATCATCCCTACGGTGGATGGACGAAGTCTTGCACCAATTGTCCGTCCATGCTTCAACTAAGGATTGAGACATCAAGCCCCGCACCCCCTGTTTGGTCTTGGCAGCTAGGACTACTTGAGCGGTGCAAAACCTCGGTCATTAGAACAAATCCGGCCCCTAGCTTTCCACAGCCAGTGAAAACAGGGACCACGGGGAACCACAAAAAGACATGTATGAACAGTGGTGCGAAATTTTGTCCATCCACAATATTACGTTTGACTTTGCCATGGTCAGAACTGCTCTTACAATTGTTTTTACATTATTCTCGTCATGACAACCTGAAGCTTGCAGTAATGTGTCAACATGTGTCAACTATCAGAACTCTTAACCTTCCCGTGGTTTGGTGCAATTTCTTTAACTGACCTGTCTCAGTGGCGGTGATACAGGGGTGGCAGAAGGTTACAGAATTTGTTGTTGGCTCTTGTGTGTAGCTCGGAGGTTTCGAGTTTCTGGAGTTTGGGGTTGCGGAACGTAAGTTGAAGCACGAGCCCAACCCTCTCGGGTTGAAACTTCTCGAAGATTCGTCTTAAGAGCTGGTGGTGTCGCGTTTGATATCGCGATTGAGGAACTGGGGGACTGCAATTGGTTGTAATTATTGGTTTAGGGTTGCAGATGTTGCAGGGCTTCATTGTCCCTGCTTCTGATTTTCTGGTTTGATACTTGGGGCTTTCGGGTTTTGGAGTTCCCGGCCACACTTGGAAGACCGCCAGAACCTGGTGAACTAGTAACTACGATTACACGCAACTCTGCAAAAAAACATACTCTCGTCACAACCCCATAAACTCAGTTTCCTGATGCTCCCAGCAGGAATCTTGCAGGCTGGGGCGGAAAACTGTCAAGGAAGAAGGAGTATTTCTGCATTGGGGCGGCGATCTAGAAGCCCCCGCCCCCAACTCAAACTTAAAGCCGCATACAAGCAGCTAATAACCCTAATGTGGTTTCTGGAACCGGTTAGTTAGTGAAACGCCTCATCAACCACTCGCAGCCGTCATGCTATACCTCTAAAGCCCCAAACCCCAGAGTCCACAACACCCTGTATTCTGCCAGCCCTGAACCTGAAAGGGCTAAACCCCAAGCACTGAAAACCCCACATCCGGAACCCTACGCTCAAGAAACCTGATATGAGAAAACCATTCGAAGACAGCAGTCTTAAAAAGGCACCATTTTCAACTTTGAAATGCCTTGGGTCATCGGGCAGGAGGGGCTCCAAAAGGTAGGGCTTAAGCATTTGGGTTTCGGGTCAAGGTTGTAAGCTTTATAGCCTGACTGGACTCTTTCTTCCGACGTATCTTCTCAGACTAGGTGGTTTTCGAACACCAGGGTGCATGCGACCCAAAGAGCCCCTTAAATGCTCAACATTGCCTTTGCTCAGGCTATGGTTGAGGGAACTGAGGGAACCTCGCATGGAACTTCTCAGCAACCGCCGCAGCAGCAGTTCTCAGCATTCGAAGTTCACGCTCACGAGCAACACGCTGCTCAGCAAACCACGCTACACGCAAAACGTTTTGCCATCGTAAGATTGCACAGCATCGCGTCTTGCCATCTGCCTCATCATTCAAATTGCGAGCCTGAGTCTCAAACCCTCCCGTAGGCGGCCGCCAGTGAACAGGGGCCCCACGTCCATGCCATGCATCTGGTTTATAAGGCAAAGTGCCAGCCTAGCGCGATGCCACTGGCGCGGGACCACACCAGTGTTCCAGGCATTGGCCCACAAGACTGCCAACTCGTCGAACCACGTCTCCGGTAGGCTGGCCAAATCAGAAGGCTTCCAATCATCCGGGCCCGCGGCCTTGTGTCCCATTGGCTTTGGGATCGCTGCCCTTCCATTCCATGTCCATCTCCATGACGGGCTTAGCAGCTTAGCACCCCCAACTTCTTGAAGGATTGCTTCAAAGTCCTCAAGGGCTGCGGCGGACGGCTCCACAACTCCATCCATACCTGCTCCTCAGTCTGTAAGAGAGACGCCGGGTGGACAGCCCGCAACTGCGTTTTCGGGTAGTGCGCCGGCAGGTAAACACCAGCTGCAACATCATGCACAGCCCGGGCCTTGACCCAAGCCGCTGTTTGCGTAGGATTGGCTACCAACTCCTCCATCCACTGCTGCATTCGCGGTTCACGCAACGTGTTCTCCATGTCAGCGATGACACGCTCGACGACCATAACGATGCCATCGAAAGTATAAGCTCGGGCACCGATCTCGTCAACGCTTTCAAGGAACGAGCAACTGCTCCGCCCAACTGCACCTCCTCCGGCTGTACAAATGATTCACGCAATCTGCGCCCCAGCCTCCTCATTAGCAATATATGGGCATATCAACGTCAACAACGGCCGCCTTTGGCTACACGCAGCTCCCACGACTCAGCTCTAGCAATGCCTGCCCTCCCTAAATCGGCCCTCAATATTCACCGCCAATGCGCATTCACCTGCATTAGCTCAACAACCTCCTTGCCTCATCAAGGTCCGCGGACGATACTGCATCACGGAAAGCATTGGGGCTCCCAGTTTGTGCAAAGCGCAGTGCAATTTCATTTTCAATCAACCCAGTCAACTGGCGCGGCCGTGGCCCCTTTGGGCACTGAAGTTCAGAACAAGATCTGCAAACCCATAGCCATAGATCACCGCACAACGGTCAGCTATTGACACCTGATGCCGCATCGACGTGGCCAGCAACCTCGCATCAGCCAGACCAAAATCAATCCTTCGATGGCCGCCGCGCCACGTAGCGGGAAGGGCGCCCAACGGCCCTGCTCCAAGTTGTAGTCACCCAGTAAAAGCCAAGGCAGCCCGTAACTGTTTGCTGCAAGCACCGATCTCTGCACCAAAGCTTCTGCAAGGCTAGAATCACGGACATCTGCATAATACTTCCAAGGAGGATCTGCTGTATAACCCCTCCTGACACAAACTCTGCGATGACAAAAACACTCCGTCATCCGCCTCCGAATTCTGAACTACAACTTTAGGAAGAGGCCTTTTGGAAACAATCGCCACACGTGGCGCCTCGCCGCAACCTAAAACACAGGTCGCCAATCCTGCACATAGCGCGCAATGGAAGCATTGTTGATGTCAAGCTCCTGCAAAGCAATGACCTCCGGAACCGTCCCGGCGAAAGCTGCACGGAGCGCGGCGGTCTTCGCCACCCCCCTTCCCACATTCAAAGTATAACAAACTCCGTCATGGGTTCGCTGAGCGGCCCTTAACGGGCGTTACGATCGAGGCCATGATCGGGGCTGCCGGAGCTTTCGGACACAGCGAGCATTGCCGTCCCGGCCCTTGCCGGCTTCACACTTGTGCGAGGCAGCATCAGACGGGTAGATGTAGCAGCGCCTGCGCGGCATTTCGCAAGCAAAGCCGAACCACACCTTTGGCTTGCTTGGTCACCGGCCACGTAAACAACACATAGCCCGCAGGGAACTTGGGCTTCAACATGCGCTGGGCAGCAGCAACGTTCAGCGCTTGCGCACGGCGGCGCTGGTAGAAGGACACAGCAGCGGCGGCTTTTTGCGCGGCATTGAGTTTTTGCCACTGCGAGCACGATGCACTGGTCTTCTCCCCCTCCTCCCACCGGACACAAGAAAGCAGTGACTTCATTCACTGCGCTGCTTGCTGCCAAGAGAGGAGCTGCACAGTCACGTGTCACTCTAAGGAGGCCAGTGACTTCAAAGGCACCCTTATAAGTCACCCAACCCCAAGTGTCGATCACTGCACCTGGGTCTGCTGGCAAGACACGGAAGACCCACCGACGAATCGCTTGTGCTGGCCGTGCTTTCACCACCTCAACCTTGTCAACGCAGAACTCCTTGTGCAAGGATGCACGCATCACGATCGACGCCGTCTTGCCTCACGAACAAGGCGCCGTGGCCTTAGAGAAGTCGACTGCAGGAGCAAGCTGGGGCCAAGTGCCATCAACCAGAATGGTAAAACACTTCCGAAGCCGATGCTGTCCCGCACAACACCAGGCACATGCCAAACTCAACATGAAAGTTTTTACGGATCAGGTCCAGCTCGGGAGAGTCGCTGCCAAGGTAGAGCAACACCGAGCCTTTGGGGCAGCCGCCCTTGAACATGCTCACACTCTGCACGAGGTCCTTGCCCTGGCACGCGAAGAAAGCAGGACGGGCCCGCCAACGGTTCTCAATCCATGTATCCTACGCCTCGCTGAGGCGCAGGTGAATGAGCTGGCTTCGGAGGTTGGCCAGTGCGGCACGTCACTCCTTAAGAAGGCGGTCAAACGAAGCCTCATCAGAAGGGGCTTGCGAACCCTTTCCAGCTGTCGAATCTACCGCCTTGCCATGGGCCGCGGTACCATCGCCATTCTTTCCAAGCCCTTTCTGACCTGTCTGGCCCCCTTTGCCTTTCCCCTTAGGCACAGGAGCAATTGCATCATTGTGAGCCTTCCCTTGGCTGGTGAAGAGACTGCAGCATTGCCCAGCGAAGCCCCAAGACCACCATTCACAACACCACTGGCACGTGGGGAAGCACCCACCCCAGAAAGCGCCGGCGCCGAAGGACGATACCGAAGCTTTCTCTGCTTCTTCTTAGCAGCCTGAGCCGCTGGTGCCCCAACCGGAGCACTGCCACCCATGAACTGTGCGATGCATGACTTCATCGACTTCATCTCCTGCGCCAAGCAATACAGCATGTTGCGTTCCTCACGAACTCGTTTCGCAGCTGCGGTTGCACCAGGTCCAGGATGACTTGCTTCCCCAATCCTGAACACGGTAGTCGGGTCCCAATCTTCACGGCGCTCCACTGAAAGTCCCACACTCCAAAGGGCACCGCGCAAACTCCCGAACTGCTTCGCACTCAAAGGGCCGACAGAAGTCAGCACCTCTGAGCCCGCAACCGCCAACGAGGACGCGGGTTCATGGTTGCATGAAACTTCTCAGGTGTCAGGGCTGGTCAGGCAAACACCTTGGCGCGCACTTGATGGGAAAATCGGTTTACGGTGCTCGGGGTGCCTATGTGGGGTTGTATGGACTCCTTCAGTAAAGCAAACCAAAAAAGACCACGTTCAACCCGCTCGAACATGGAAGACAATCTGTCGAACGCTAAGGATCATATAAGATTGCCGAACCCGGGCGGCAACCACGTCAAACTCGTCAAACCCTGGAACTGAACGCAACATAGGCAAATTCGCTCAAAGAATCATAGAACTACTCATCGCAACAACGGCCAACACCTTTAACCTCAAGACCATGAACTCCAAATCAGCATCCCCCCTATCGAAAGTCCTGAAACTGTCTGGCAGAACCCGGCATCACGGGCTCCTTGAGGTGCCATTTTTCATCGCTGCCCTTGTCGCTGTTTAGGCTTACGAGCTGAGCGGAGACCTTCGGCAGACACAAGGGTTTACCCGCGTGGATCTCACATGTGGGTGTTATTGTTGGTCCCTTCCTGCAACCACTGCCGACACTGTTGTCATGCAGGCTTGTGAAGCTTTGATTTTAAGGCCGAGCATGCCCAGTGATGGGGATGGATTCGCTGGGACTCCAAGCCCCACGTATAAAACCCTAACACGTGGGACTACAACAGTACTCAGGCAAAACAAATCATTGATCCCTTTCACCGTCAACTGCAAGCAGCAGAGGAAGCTATCTCCTCAGGGAGACGACTGGCTGCAAACGGGTGCAGCCGGGTTCAAACTTGTACTCGTCCGTGACTTGTACTGCCAGGCAGCCTACGCATCCTAACTCGTTGAAAGCCCGGGCTGGCCCCAACTCTCACAAAGAAACTGCCGGTGCTTAGAATATCCACTGAATCCGCGAACGCCGATCTACACCTCGAAGGATGCTACCCTAGTGTCTGAATGTTCTATCCCTGACGCCCCTTCTCCAGCTTCAAGCTCTTGCACCAACTCACGGACTCACCGACAAAATCTGCGCAGGTATCACTCCAGCCTCTACACGATAACAAGTTATTGGAGGATGCCTTCCGAATGGCCACCTTGCTGTAGCAACTTTAGAACTAGAACTTACAGGGTCGCCCGTCCGGCTCCCCCAAACGGACGTCCGAAGACAGGTCTGAGATGGGTGCTTGGCCGAGAAGCGCCTGCGGAAGGTCTGATTGAAATGTTGGGGCTGGTTCGGATTATAAACAGGTTAAGGGTATTTTAAGCAATAGGGCCCAAGTGTTGGGGCCTAACGTTAGGATCGGTTTTCAAGATCTACATATTCAGTTCTGCGTCCACGCGCATGAGTCGACAGGAGCGCATAGCTTCTGGGACTCAGGCGTACGCCAGGGGTGGACAACGAGCTAGTGGTGATGGCGCTGAAGCCTACATGTCGTGACGCTGGCGAGGACGATGCGGACGACGATAACGATTTTGATGGTGATGATGAGGATTTTTGACGATGATGATGTCCCTACAATCTCCAGATAGTTAGAACCTCAATACAACCGAAATTCTACAACCGTATGCCAATGACCAGGATGATGCTGCCTCAAGGCTGTGTTCTGATACGACGTCTGGGGCCTGACATTGGGCTGTGAAGTGTAGCGGTCTGGATCTGGGTGGAATTCAAGGCGTTAAAATTTCGGATTTCGGGTTTAGGGTAGGGTGTAGGTCAGGGCTTCATGGCCTTACAGCTCCGGGCTCATAAGCAAGCCTTAACCCCAAGACCCTACACCGAGAGCCTGGTCGGGGGAACAGCGTGAGTCACGCAACATGACAACTGAAGCATCCTGCTGGCAAGAGGAAACACGCTAAACACACTGGGCATGGACAGGCGGAAGCCTAGGACCTAGACCGTTCTCCCAGCTTTCGACTGTATGCCCGCACGGCCCTGAAACAACTCAGGGTTTACTTGCTGGGGCCGTAAACCCGCACCCTGGCGCTTCAGGCCTACTTTGTTTCTTTCCGGTCTTCATTGGAGCTACTGCAGTAAATCGCTATTCGCTCCCTGCCCAACCACTGAAGGGATCCCTAAGCCTAAGCTCTAAGATGTCAGGACCCTCTGCTCAGACAAATCAACTCGGAATGTAGGGCTGTCTTAGCCCGCGTGTTGTGCCGTCCGGGGTGATCAATGACAACTCATTTTCCAAAATTCAGCCCGAAGTCTAGACCTTCTTTGCCGTACAACTTGATATCGAAGGCAACAACTAGAAATGCTGAAGGCCTGAACCCGCATACCCTAAACTCGAAATCACTGCACCGATAGAGGTCCCTAAATCCTAATACCCTACACTCTGAACCTCGACAAACCCAATTAAGTTCTCGAGCCATAACCCCGGAACCATAGCCCGCTGTGTCAGCAGCCGTTTATATAATAGGTCTTAGTGCTCCTGTAGGGATAAAGGAAACCTACCCTACCATCTGGACGTACATTCTTGTATCTAAAGAAGCTTAAGAGGATTAGACCCATATTTCCATTACGGAACACTTGAAAACTTCATCTCAAGCCCCCGAAATGACTTCGACAGTAGCCCGGTAATTATGCGGGTTTCTCCCGAAGAATCCAGTCAGTCTTGAAAAGACACCCCAATCGGAAACTGTGAACGGGTACTACTGGAGGCCAAACGCCTCGACCTTTGCGCTGACGACCGTTTGTGTTGAGATTTGCACCGCAAGTGCATCCAGCTTGCCTCGAATTGAACGGTTAGGTTTAGGGTCCAGGTGCGGGTATAGCGGCCTGGATGATCGCACTTTGGTTTATGAGGGGATTTTCCTCTTCTAACAGAACGGTTTAGGGTTGAAGGCGGGCCTATGGGGTATGGGGTTTAGAGATGTGAGATGCAGGGTTTAGGGCCGAGCAAAACCAGTGAAACAACGCAACTGTAGACCTGCATTCCCCAGAACAGCCAGGGCAGTCGCAAAGCTAGGTGTACCGGCATTTGTCAGCAGAGCTTCTGAAATACGTGACGACCAGAGCAAACCTAGTTTAGCCTAGCACGAAGAGCAGATTGTTGTAGTCGCATCGGAAGCAAGGGCAGATACAGCACTTCGCTGCAAAGCCGAGTTGCCACCCAAACCAGACTGAGCAGCAATCTGGGATGCGATGGCGTCGACCTGGCTTTGGGCATCGAAGATCCTGTATGGCCAGTTTATGTTAGGGGTTGCTTCTTGTCAGAGACCCCCCACCCCTCTACACTGCAGCGCTTTTAATTCGGATCTAGTTTCGGTGAAGCATAGATCCCAAGACCCCTGCCGTGCAACTGCAATGCCCAGAATCTTCAGCTAAACAGACCCAACTCCTAGGCTGCAAAGCCCACAACGCCGAGCCCTCCAAGCCCCAGTGCATGCCTTCCCGCTCATGGCAGGCACAACAGCGCTCTGCGTTACAAGGGCGTTCACCTTGTCGTTCAACTCCGCCTCCGGCTTCTGTCAGACCAATCATGAAATTCTACTGATGCAGGTGCCGATGGATACTGCTTCTATGAACATGAACTGCAATGTTGCCAGACGGCAAACGAGTCAGGTGGGAAGACCGCTTCGTGTGAAGATTTTGTTGCTTGAGAGCACTGTTCTCACTGCTGTTATCTGCTTCCTCAGGCTGCTTCTCTTCTTCTCTTCATGCGGCATTAATAGAGCAAGTAGGCCCCATGACAGTGGTTTTTCTCTTAGGTATCAGAACTAGAGTCCCTGACTGATGCTGTCCTGAATGTGAACCCTAAATCCAAATACCCTAAGGCTGTGTCTTCCGCTTGAGCTTCAGGCCATCGCACGATTTCGATCTTGTCGGTCCTGCTGGCAATTTCGTTTCAGACCGAGAATTCGACTTCAGAATGCACATGCTCCAGTACTTCTAGGGGTGTAAGGTCCAAGCGGTACGGACCTCAGCTCCTAAATGCTCGATTGCAATTCCAAGGACCTACACCTAGAATGCTTTCAACTGCCACAGCAGCCTCGCAAGACATGAACCTCATCATCTTGACGAGGACAATACCAGGGCAACGCAGGCCATAGTCATCATGGTACAAGACTGCTCTCCCATTCACTCGCGGAGAACAAAAGGAACCATAACAGAAATGTGCAATCTGTAGTCAGTCACGCTATTCGGATTTGCATCAGCCGTAGTGAGAATTGTACGGCTGCGGCTACCGATCACCCGGCGCCTACGGACTACGACATCACGAAAGTACTGTAAACAAAAAGTAAAATGGATGTGCTCTTAAACGTACGTCATCATGCCTGGCCCCCACCCGTGCTCAACAGTGGTGCTTGGTATTGGACTACGACATCACAAAAAACTGTAAATACCGAGTAACATGGATGTGCTCTTGGACAGTGTTTAAGCGAGGCGAGGTGGTTGGTAGGAGGGGGCGCCTAGTGCTGCTACTACTACTACTACTTCTTCTACTACTACTACGACTGCTACTGCTACTGCTACTGCTACTGCTACTGCTACTGCTACTACTACTACTACTACTACTACTACTACTACTACTACTAGCACTACCACTGCCAGTACCACTCCTACTGCTGCTGCCGTTGCAACTCCTACAACTAGCACTACTACCACCGCCACTACCACTACCACGACTGCTACCCCTGCTACCACTACTACCACCACTGCCACTCCTACCACCACCACCGCCACTCCTACCACCACCGCCACCACCACCACCGCCACCACCACCACCACCACCACCACCACGACCACTAATACTACTACTACTGCTACTACTACTACTACTACTACTCCTACTACTACTACACTTACTCTTGCTGCTGCTACTACTACTACTAATAATAACTACTACTGTTACTACTGCTGCTACTACTACTACTACTACTACTACTACCTACTAACTACCAACTACCAACTACCAACTACCAACTACCAACTACCAACTACTAACTACTATCTACTAACTACTAACTACTAACTACTAACTACTAACTACTAACTACTAACTACTAACTACTAACTACTAACTACTAACTACTAACTACTAACTACTAACTACTAACTACTAATAACTAATAACTAATAACTAATAACTAATAACTAATAACTAATAACTAATAACTAATAACTAATAACTAATAACTAATAACTAATAACTAATAACTAATAACTAATAACTAATAACTACTACTACTACTACTACTACTACTACTACTACTACCACTACTACTACTACTACTACTACTACTACTACTACTACTACTACTACTACTACTACTACTACTACTACTTACTCCTGCCGCTGCTACTGCTACTACTACTACTACTACTACTACTACTACTACTACTACTACTACTCGAAGAAACGAAGGGAAACAGCAGTTCGCGTTTTCCGCACAACCAAAGCACCAACAGCTACCCTCAAGGCATTGTGTAAAACATCAGCCAAGGCCACACGTTGAAAGACGTGACGTGAGCAACAGCAACTCATCAATTAGGGACCAGTCATCTACTAGTAGCAGTAGGACTGTGGCGGTAGAAGTAGCAGTAGCAGTAGCAGTAGTAGTGGTAGTAGTAGTGAAGTAGTAGCAGCAGTAGTAGTAGAAGTAGTAGTAATAGCAGTAGTAGTAGTAGTAGTAGTAGTAAATGTAGCAGTAGTGGTAGTAGTTGTTGTTGTTGCAGTAGTAGCAGTAGGAGTCGGAGCAGTAGGAGCGGTAGGAGCAGTAGGAGCAGTAGGAGCAGTAGGAGCAGTAGGAGCAGTAGGAGCAGTAGGAGCAGTAGGAGTAGGAGCATGAGGAGGAAGCTGAGGAGGAGAGGGGGAGGACGGGAGGAAGAGGACAAATGTGGTTGCCGGTGCCAAGACAAACGATGACACACCACATGCTGCTCATCAAGCTCCTGCTCTTGATTCTTGGCATGCTCTTCCAGTTTGACCAGGACTTTGCCGATCTGCAGCAGGGTTTGGGGCTTTGGAATCAGCAAGGATTGCAGATCGTAGTCATACACAGATGTTAGTCTTTGCCCTCATCACTATCAAAATCCAGAAACGTCACAGCCAGTATCACCATCACCTTCCTCAACTTGTTTCCGTCATCATCATCATCGTCGTCCTCGTCGTGGTCGTCATGATTGACGATCACATTATCATCAGCAGCACCAACACGAACACAAACACGAGCACGAGCGCCAGCACCACCATGAGCATCATCAAGTCTATCGCCATCGCCATCATCAACATGTCCATTCTCAAAACCGTCATCGCGGTGTCTAGAGCCGTTGCAAGAATTCGACTCGCAAGGATAGCCGATTCTGATGCTTCCGGTATGGGATTCTGGGATTCTAGACGTGGGGCTTCGGCTGAATGCCGCTGTCGAGCAGAAACTGGCGAAACTGTCCGGTGGGAATTGGGATATGGAGCATACATATATGTATATGGCTGTGCATAAGTATATGTGTATATATGTGCCCGCGCTCCGCGTTCTCGACCCCCCCCCCCCCCAATGGTATCCCCCCCCCCCCCACCCGGGCGACCACACAACAAGAACAAGAACAAGAACAAGAAGAAGAACAGCAGCAACAACAAAGCAGCAGCAACCACGCGGAGGAACCACAGGAACCACAGGGGGGGAGGGGGGAGACAGGAACCAGAAGAACCACAAAAGGGAGGGGGAAAACCAAGAGGAACCACAGGGGGGGGGGGAACCACAGGAACCACAGGGGGGGGGAGGGGGATTACCATGGGGGGGGGAGGGGGGGGGGGGGTGCGCGGATGCTGGCACATATATATATACATATATATATATATATATATATATATATATATGTATGTATGTATGTATGTATGTATGTATGTATGTCATGTATGTGTATATGTATGTACTGTACATATATAGATATATGTATGCGCATGTGTTTACATGCACGTACGTGTGTATATGTGGGTGGTTGTCAAAATTATGGTACCTTTTGGGGTCCCTATGATGATGCGGCATCTATTATTTTGGGTACCCAACAAGGGACCATAACTTTGACAACTACCCATGTGTGAGTATGTTTATTACGTATATTATGTATCTGTGTCCGTCTCCGTCTCCAGATCCGTATCGGTATCGCTATCTGTATTATGTGTATGTATATGTATATGCATATGTATATGTGAATATACACACTACACAACTAGAGGTACAAAAGCATCTACGATGTCTTACAACTTTCTTTCAAGAGCATGCTAGAGCTTGAGGCTTTCATGGTGTCTGGAGGCATTTAGAGGGTGATTGAAGCTTCCAGTACTTTGAACTTGAGGGGGCTGTGGGCTCGTGTGGGCTGTCTGGTGACCGTCCCGCTGATTTGGTGAGCCAATGCCTTCTTTGCGGACTTTCTGGGATGAGTGTTGCAGACTCAGGCTGTAGGACTGTAGCCCAGCTTGGAATAGCAAGCCGGTGCCTGAGCCTTCATGACTGTGACGTCGTCACGAACCGTCGCAACATCCTTCTGCACCTAAAGGTAGGCGCGCTTTTCGGTTCAAGAGGACGAAAGGGAACTGAATTCCTGACATTGGACTTTCGGTTTGAGGCTCTGGGACCTCAGGGTTCAGGGTTCAATTACCGGGCCAAAGAATTCAAAGCACTTCGGCGTGATAGACCTCGCAACAAGGGGTCCTAGAACCCGGAACCGCAAACCCTAGACCCTGAAGACTTGAGGCCACGCGACCTCCTTTACAAGCGCTTGAGAGCTGCGGGCCAACTCGTGGATCCTTGGAGCGTTCTGGGACAGTTACCATTCGCTTTTTCAGGGCTTCGATGTCCCGGAAATCCAGTGTCGAGGACGATTTATGGAATGGAGTATGCGCTGGCGTGGGTCTACGGCTTTATGGATAAACATGAGTAGCTTCAGGATACTTGTCTCAGCACTGCGAGTATGTTTGTTGCAAGTGCTCTTTA